TATAGAAAACAACATATTACTACATGTCCAAGTATTTGGATTAGAGTATCTCTGACCACTCAGAAACCTTCAAAGTTGAATTGTATTGCTTCAAGCGTAGAGTGGGAGAGGAGGTGAGATGTCGAAAGTTTGGGTAGCAGTAGGAGCAGAGGCGCTCCCCACTGGCAGATGCAGGACAGAGGGCAAGGAGGTTGGAGCGCCCCGGCACAATAGCCTGCATTCCTGCAAGGTCTGTTGCCCTGGTACATTGTGAAGGAGTGGCAAGAGGTACTGAGACCATTCCTGAGCGCATGGCACACGTGATATCCTTCCCGACCCATCTACAGTGTGTGTATTATTGTTATTGTACATGATGTCCTTTCCTACCTAGACTTTGAGCAGATTCCCTCAAGCAAGAGACAAGAGTTCCTTGGATATCTAAAATTTGTATTTAATTTGGACTGAGGTTCAGGTATATAGCATGATTTCCTAACATTTGTTAACTTTGGCTTTTATTAAAAATGCACCATGAGTTCTTTTCACTTTGTGCATTAGCCCAAATCATAATAGAAACTTACTTAGTGTAACTTCACTGTGTCTTCAGAACTCATCCACCAGCTTGTCTTGTATGCCTTCTGGAGACTAGGCAGTAGACACTGCGGCTAAAGAGAACACCCTTCCTTTGAGGGTACATTCTGTGATTCAGTATGGAACTTGTGAAAAATAGATTTCCATGGTCTGTGGAGCGAGGGGGAGGGTTAGAGAGAGGGAGAGACAGAGACAGAGACAGAGAGACAGAGACAGAGACAGAGACAGAGAGAGAGAGAGAGAGAGAGAGAGAGAGAGAGAGAGAAAGGAGAGAGGAGAGAGAGACCAAACACTGCATATAACTTCAGAAAAAGTTGTATAAATATTTCAATACTAAATTTATTGAGACATCATGAGATTAACACGGTTACCTTTGGCCTCTGCAGTTGCAAGAGGTGCCCAAAGTGGTGGCCATGGCTCCCAGATATTTATTAGTATGGCAGACTGCTGCTTGGGTAACCTTGGCTATTGAGAGTTCTGCACACACGTTTTCAGTTTCTTTGCTAAGGGCTGGCAGTGTAGTGGGTTACCTGTGATGTACGACATCCTCTAGGGTTCCCCATAGATAAAAGTCTTCAGGTGTTAAATAGGAAAATGTGCACTTTCTACATTTCTTTTTCTTTTCTTTTTTTTTTTTTTTTTTTTTTTTTTTTTTTTTTTGTGTGTGTGTGTGTGTGTGTGTGTGTGTGGAACCAGGGATTGAACTCAGGCCCTTGCACCTGCCAGGCAAGCGCTTATTCTACTGAGCTATGTCCCCAGCCCCTTTTTCTGAAGCATGTAGCACATTTTTTGGTGGACTCTGTATACATATGCTTAAAGCACAGCCTCTGGCTTTAAATTTTGATGTTGTAATTTTTGTAAAGAAGGGGAAGATCACTTGTTTCTTGGTGCAGCAAACCGAAGCAACAGTGTGATCTCATACAAAAGACTCAGGAAGACTCAGGAGTTAGAATCGTGTGGACCATAGGTTCCATACTGAGAGGAGTGACTGCTCACATCGGCATTTCTGAACTTCTGTGTCCTAAAGTGTGACGTGGAAATGGCACTACCTACTTCCCATGGCGGGACAAGGCCCTGCACGTTGGGCAAGCGCTCTACCCCTAAGCTAGATCCCTGGCCCCAGAAAGAGCTCCTTAGTCCCTTGAGAGACTACCTGACTTCTGTAAAACAGGCTCATAACACCCACTTTCTGCTTCCTGGGAAGTGAGTGTCCTAACAAGTGTTATTCCTCTGTCCTTATTAAGTTCAGGGTCGACTGTTGTTTAGTCCAGATAATCATAAAAATTGCCAAGGAAAAGATGCTGGTTTGGACCTGACGCAGCACAGTCCTGATGTTTAGAGAGCTGGAGCTTGTAAGAGACAGGACCGCGAAGAGGAGAGCGTGTAGTTGCGCAGTGCAGCTATCATTTCCGGGACGTTGTCTTTGGGCTGTGCTTTCCTTAATGTCATAGAAAAGGAGCAGTTTTAGCAAATTTGGGAAATAGAAATCAAACTTCAGGTCTGCCTTTTCATTGAAAAACTAGTGAGGGCAGAAAGCATGTGCCAAGTGTATTTCATTAGGAAGTTTGAATTTTCCACTGTGACATGTTGACCAGGAAAATTAAGTCACAGTGTTTGAAGAAGGAAAAAGGCATTTATTCTCAAAAGTGGCACAGTAGACAAGCCTGAGGAAAAGCTGCTCTTATTGCGCTCATAATCATGTGGGGGGTTTTGTTTTTTGTTTTTTTTTATTTTATTTTATTTTTTTTTTCAAAGTTTTATTGATAAACAGCAATGAGACAGTTTCAAATCAAATCGGAAGTACAGTTTCAACAAATATTACACTGCATATATTCTTCTTAGTGGTTAATTGCTGTACAAGATGCGGACTTGTGATCCTATTTACAAACACCATTAGAACAAATCATTCTATTCATTAAGAGAATGCAACTATATATCTATCCGAACCACTTTGAATACACAGATACAAAATGGACATTCATAGGCATACCCCATTTTTCCTAAGTTCCGTTATTGAATATTATAGGTGTGTAAATTCAGCAAAATATTCTAAAAGAGTCCAGTAGCCCATAATAGCATTGGGTCTTCTGTTTAACTGGCAATGTCAGAAATTATTGACCTGAGTCCCCCACAGCTCAACTTAACAGCATGGCTTTATTTCCTATATTTCGTCTTCATACTTTTCTACTGGATGGTTAAGACCAAGGTAAAGCAGGACCTATGCAACAAGAGTTGTAGCTTTTTGGTCTGAGAAGGTCAGTGAAATCCCCTCAGGATTTATCCTGAGATCCTGTACCTCAGATTGTAGAACCTTTGTCAGTGTCAGCCATGTGGATGAGTCACGGCCATTGCTTGGCCAATGTGCTCCCTGTGAAAGGCTGAGAGAGTGTCTTCTCCCCACATGACTCTCCTTAGGCCCACTCTACGTCATCGATCACTTTCCTCTTTGGCCCCATAATCTTCTTGATCAGAAAATTTGGGACACTACCGAGGTACATGACGTTACAGTACAAGTTTTCATATGTCCTGAGTCTTAATTGACCTTAGAAGACTAGGGCCAAAATGTTGGCTTTCCTTGTAGCCCTCCTTTTTCTCTAATTTTGGTCTGCAAACTTAGGTTGTTAACCATCCAGAAGACAAGCTTATTGTTATCAAACGATTTAGGCTATCAAGCTTAACCTCACTATCTCACTGCATTTCAAACATCTTAGGCATAATAAGGAACAGGTATTTTTCATCAAGTATTGATATGTTGAACTTTAAGTCCCTACAGAATATGATAAAAAAAACATTTAAAAATTAGATTATATTTTAAAAATAGGATAAAGAATTCTATGCTTCTCATGTTTGCACATAAGTCCAAAAATCTCACCATATACAACCTTGAGGCAGGACAGTCCCACAATATTCCTTTTCCTGTCTCTTGCTTTCATTCACCACCCCCTTCTTCTCGAACATCCACCTACCCGAGAGACATCTTAGCAGTAAGGGGGTTTTGTTTTTACCATCCATGTACTTCTGACATTTTGCTATTATTTTATTCATTATCTGCTATGGTGTATCCAGTATTGCTATTGGCATGCACCAAATACAGTGTATGAGATAGATAGGAATATATTAAAACATATTTCCCACCTCAACAACCCGAAACTTGTGTTTAAGATTTTAAGCTTTATATATGTTGCTTTTTTTCCAGTTTTTAATGAGCATGTGTTGGTAGTGATGTTAAGCAGACTCATTGGGAGGGTGGCATGAACACGTGTCACGTGTTACGTCTTTTTCCTGTCTCCCTCCCATCCCTCTGTCTCCCCGCTTCCAAATCCCCTCCTACTTTTTCACAAAGCCAGCTCTTTGCTTCATTGGCCTTTTAGTTTCAGTTTCATTACTGTTCATGCTAATCTTTATAATTTCTCTGCTTTCTATGAGTTTTGTTTGGACTGTTCTTGTCTTTCTAGGACCTTGAGGTGCACCAACGTTATTTACCTGGATGCATTCTGGTATTGGCTTGTGTACATTTACGCCCTATGCTGCCCTCAGAAGTGCCTTCACCATGTCCCATTGGTTTGGGTATGATAGTTAGGAGTTTGAAATTCTTACAGGGAACCATTAAATATTAGCTGAGAATAAAACTGTTCATCTTGTAGTCTAAAGCCTATATTCTTTTTAGAACTTCAAGCATTAACACTACTGAGTTAGGAACTTTACGTATTGCTTTTTACAATTTTCATTGTAAAGTAGACATTATGACTCTTTTTCCCCCAGTTCTGGGGAGTCAACCCAGAGCCTTGTGCATGCTTTGCAAATGTCTGTCCCCAGCTGTCAGAGCCCTTTCTTATGGGTGAAGAAAATAAGATTAAGAGAAGTGAGATAACTTAATTAAAGCCACAGACTTAGTAAGTGATGGAGTCAAGAATCAAAGTCGGGCTGGGGAGATAGCTCCGCAGTCTAAGTAACTGCCTGGCAAGCCCAAGGTCGCAAGTTTGATCCCTGGTACCACATACCATACTGGCCCCAGAACTCCAGGCATACCATGCCAGCTCCCAAAACTGGCCTGGTGGTGCACAGCTGTAATCCTAGCACTGGGGAGACTGAGACGGAAGGATCACCATGAGTCTAAGCTGTGTAGCAAGTCCCTGTATTAACAACAACAACAACAAAATTAATAAAATCAAAGTCAGATCTTAGGAGAGAAGCCAGAATCTTATATCATTTTTCCCTTTTGTTTGTTTATATTTAAACTCACCACTCTATCCCTTGAAGTGACTGTAGCAGGGAAAATGTCAGCCATTTCTCCCCTTTAACAGTCTGTTCTGCTGGTTATTCCCTCAGATGTTTTTCAATGTCTGTCATATTCAAAACACAGCTAACAAATTATTCTTCCAGCGTTGAAGGGTTGAGGATAAAAGGATTGTCCAGGGGCGTCATAAAAAATCAGTCCTCACCAGTTCAGAAGATTTTTCTTTTAAATGTCTTTTTAAGGGACAGTTTGTAATGTTTGTTTAGAATTCTTTTTCTTCTTTCCTTTCGGCCGGAACCACCATCTTCCAGTAATTTGCCAAAATGACTAACACAAAGGACAAGAGGAAGGGAACCCAGTATATGTTCTCCAGGCATTTTAGAAAGCATGGGGTTGTTCCTTTGGCCAAACACATGCGAATCTAGGAAAAGGGTGATATTGTAGACATCAAGGGAATGGGTACTGTGCAGAAAGGAATGCCTTACACATGTTACCATTGCAAAACGGGAGGAGTCTACAACGTTACCCAGCATGCTGTTGGCATTGTTGTAAACAAGCAAGTTAAGGGCAAGATGCTTGCCAAGAGGATTAATGTGTGTATTGAGCATTTCAAACACTCAAAAAGTCATGATAGCTTCCTGAAATGTGTCAAGGAAAATGATCAGAAAAAGAAGGAAGCCAAAGAGAAAAGTACCTGGGTTCAAGCTGAAGCGCCAGCCTGCCCCTCCCAGAGAAGCACACTTTGTGAGGACCAGTGGAAAGGAACCGAGTTGTTGGAACCCATTCCCTATGAATTCATGGCATAAACTGGGGACGTTGCTCTGCCATTCAGTTCCTAATTGGCTGCTTAAGTGTTCTAGGTCCTACGTAAAAATAAAATCATCCTGTGTTGTAAGGGTAGTTTTCTTAATTGAACAGAAATGGTGCCTCCTTACCTCAGAAATATTTGCAGCAGATTTTCACTGTACCTAGTAATTGTGTCTAGTCTTTATTCTTCAGTGTTTTTCTTGCTGAAAGATATTGCTAAAGTATTGTGCAGGTGTATACCCAAATATTCAAATATTTATATTGGCTTGAAGATCTGTAAATCATCATGGGGAAAAGATTTATCAAAATAAATGAAAGTCACTTCAGAAACAAATACAAGTTCATTTCAGTTAAATAAATTGTTTAAAGCAAAATTATTATTTTTTTTATTTTTGGCTGGCTCAGGCTGCCTTAAGGGCAGGTCTGGTGCAGCACGTGGTGCTGTGGTCCCCTATGCCTGACTGAGTTTGCCCAAGCAGGCGCTTTAGACAGCTGAGTTATCCTGCCGGCCCCGTAATGTTTATTCAGAGGAGGCCACCAAGACACAAGACAGTGACCTTAAACCCGTCTGGAGCTTTCTGTGTAGGTGAACTTCAGGAATATAACTTAGGTACCAATAAGCATCTCTCCTTCCCCTGCGCCAGCAGGGTCTGCTAAAACTGTGGATCTCCTCAAAGGAAAACCATCCCTGTCACCTTCAAGTGATTGTTGTTACTCTTTTGTCCTTTGTACACACCATTGCCAAGAAATAGATACCTTGTCACCTCTCAGAGAGTGAGCAAGAGAGCAAGTGTATACGTATTTCATCATATCCGGCAGTGTAGCTAGTGCAGGCACGTAGGTAGACCTGTCTGTGTCTGTCCCACTCAGAGGTGAGCTTCTGTAGGCAGAGACTTTTCTGTTCCCGTTTACATCTTTCCAGGTCATGTGTTTAAAGAAAAGGATTTGTTTGTTAAAGTCTGTTCTTACAGTGACTGGCTTTCTTGTCACTTGTGTGAAAATTACACCTCTCATCATGGGACAGGAACCAAATTGTGTGCAACATTTTTCAAAATACCTTGATGGCTGTGACTGCATCAAATCAATACCTATCTTTATATGTATCTCATCAAATCTTTTCTGCAGTTTCTAATAAATATCTTTTAATTGTCCCAGGGAAAATATGACTCTTATTCTGAAAACTGTCATAGAGAAATTATTAATCCTGTCATGCTGTCTGTTCTTGCCGTATTTGCAGGCACAGACTGTGGGACTCCCAGCGGCCATGCATTCGCCGAACATGAGACTGATGCGATCTGCGCTCCTGTCGCAGGCATCCACTGTGGAGGCCTTTGCATTTCCAGCATCCAGCTGCCAGGCAGAAGCCGCGTTCATGGAAGAGGAGAGCGTTGACACCCCGAAGGTGCGGCTGGACGTGTGAGAGACAGTGCTTGCGCTTTGGCTCTGTTGAACTCTGCTCTTTCCTTGAGTCAGTCAGACATAGTGATTTTGTGGGAAAGAATCTAAGGAAAGTGCCCCAAACTGAACTCTCACTCGGGTTTTAGCAGTCTAACAGTTATGTGAGTAGCTTGTCAGACGGCATGTGCACTCCTCTGGGCCCTCTTCTTTGTCCCTCCTTAACGAGACCATTCTCTTTTCAAGTTTCGAGGTTGAGGAGATAGCTCAGTGGGGTAAGCACTTGCCTGGGAAGTGCAAGGTCCTGAGTTCAATCCCTGGTACCGCAAAAAAAAAAAAAAAAAAAAAAGACACCTGTTTCAAGTGTCTAGTCCCTCACAAGAGCTTGGGTTTGTCTTTTTTATATATAAATTGTAACTTTGAGATCAAAAATGTTACCTACTCCACTAAATTGGGCTTTCTATCTTATTATTTACCTCTGATGAGAATACTATAGATACAAAATGGTGGGCTGTCTTGTGGGCCAACTAAGTATCTTCTGTGTGTCCTATTTGGGCATGCTCAAAGGAGTTATTTTCCTTATACGCTACAAAGTTGGCTTTTAGGCTATGGAAGAAGATGGCCTCTCATTCAGTGGATGTGAGTTCCATCCTAGAATGTGTATATGTGCTTAGCATCAAGAGTTACACAGAAGTCTTACCTGGGGGTAGGAGAGTGTCATAGAAGAATGGGTCTTCACGTTGCTGAAGCTGCGAACTTGGGCAGGGCGATCAGCCTGTATGAATATCAGTTTTCTCATGAAATGAGAATACGAACTGTGTGAGACCGTTGTGAGGGTTGATTGTATACACATGAGTTAGGGACAGATTTAAATATTCAGTTAAGTATCCGTATACTGCCTTAATCCTCTTTCGGTACTAAAAAGATGAGTCAGATATGAACACTGCTTCACAGTCTACTAGACTGTGATCTAGCCAAAGGAGTATTAGACATAATTAAAGACAGCATGCTAGGTGTGGAAGAAATTAATAGCAGATAAAATGTGATTGGTCCCATCAGGAACCATAAATTCAGGTGCAGCTAGATGCACATGTGGGGAGCTCTGTTTGGTGGGGAAGGTGCTAGGGTTAACTGTCAGTAGAGAATGAAGATGTGGGTAGAACCAAGATCTTTGAGAATGAGTGAAAAACCCACGCAGAATCACTTAAAGGAATTCTCAGTCCATCTAAAGCAGAGCAGTTGTTCAGTTTGTGGGAAAGGGCACACAGAGGGAAGCTGCACCCAGCAGCACTGGATGGATACGCTCTAAGTGGCAGGTAGGGCGGTTTGCACTGTTCTGTAGGTGGGTGCTGTCAGCGTGGGTACGTGTTTGAGCATGAGCTGAAACAGTTAGAGAGAAGCAGGTGTTAGGGTAGTAGGCGACACTGAAGGCATTTGAACAAAGTCGCGCTGTGTGTGTGCTGTGCTCCTGAAAATCAGCCCATGTGGTTTCCTAGCAGCACAGGATGCAAGAAGACCGGAACGGGGCAGCAGGAGGCTGGTGTGAGTGTCCAGGGAGGAGGATTTGGGCCGGAAGAGTGGCCATGGAACAGGACAGGAGACCCTCCCCAGGGGGTGTTCACCCGAGCTGCTAACAGGGGTAGGCAGCAGGTGTCCAGCCCCCAGGACAAACCCTCTCCCTGGGGATGGTCTGTTTTCTCTGCCGGTGGCTACTAAGATGCTAAATTACCTTACAAATTACTGTTACATTCCTGCTCAGAAATTTAGATATAAATAAAGGCAACATAATTCATTTATTTTGAAGATCTGATTCTCTCGAGAAAATTAAAATGCAGTCTGCCAAAGTCTTCTATGTGAGGGCACCCATCCCGAGACACAGATTGGGCACTGTCTGCTGTATTATATAGGGCAAACTATTTTTAAAGCTTGTGATTGTTACAGTAACTAGGAAACAGACAGGAAATGAATGATTCTGTGCAAGATACAGACAGCAGCTAGATGGTATATTTGCATTTGCAGAAGAACAGTGCCACTCTGGGGCTGGCCACCCACGCTGGCAGTGCCACCGTGCCACACCGCCGGGCTGCATTCACCCACTGGTCCTACTGTGGGCCACTTCATTCTTGTCAGCGGAGATGCCTGCCACCCCCTCCTCCTTCTGTGCACTCCTACGAAAAGGCATGCAGACCCCTGAGCCGCAGCTGCTTTTGTTCCGATCGCTCTTGTGCATGTGCTGCGGCGCTCACGTGTGTCTTAAAGGGGCCTCCTTGCTGCACGTATTGCTGATTCATTTGTGTGTTCGGTCTTGGATAAGCATCGTGTACTTTAAAAAGAATTTACTTCTCCTTCTAGCCCAGAAGGCTTTCACTCTTAAAACTGTCAGTAACATTCCATAGGTAATCAAAATGGAACTTTGCTTTGGGACATTTGTATTTTACAAATATCACCTTTCCGAGAAAGTCACCCATTGTTGGGTAAGAATGAGGTCTGAATTATACCTGAAACCTGCAGGTAACACAGACAGAGGCCATGTGGGAGGACAGGGACTTATACCCTGTGAGGTGAATCTTCCTTCCATGATGGCTTCTTTGTAAATAATGGATTTTATACACACACACACACACACACACACACACACACACACACACATCATTTTAAAATTATATTATAGACTATGATAAAGAGCATTTTCTGGCCAGGGAGATAGCTCAGCAGTCTAAGCACTTGCCTGGCAAGTGCAAAGCCTCGGGTTCGTTCCCCGGTACCACATGCCATGCAGGCCCCACACCATGCGGGTCACTGAAACAGGGTGTGGCGTGCAGGCCTGCAATCCCAGTGCTGGGGAGGCAGAGACAGGAGCAGCCCTATGAGTCTGAGCGAGATCCTATACCAAATAAGGAAATACATATTTTTTTTAAAAAAATGAATTTTCCAGGATAACATTTTCATAGGCTCCTTACACCCTTAAGAACTTTTCATTATAAAAGTAGTATATATGAGAGAAACTCTGAAAGGAAACGTGATATTCTTAGTGATGTCATAAGCATTAGCCTCTAAGATGTTAAGGGAGAAATTTCATTGTTATTTTCTTTCTTTTCTTTCTAGTGGTGCTAGAGATTGAGCCCATGGCCTTCTGTACACCCTCTACCTCTGAGCTATACCCCCAGGCCTTCTGTTTTACTTCTAAATTTAATTTTTTTAATCCAAATTATAATTTTAATTGAAAAATAAAGCCAGTAATAGTCACGAATGAAAAATCCAGAGAGGGATAAAGCAGAACTTCTCCCTGTCATTACCAAAGAGAAGGGTGCACTGCACAACCCTGCAGATGATTTGGTGGGTAGGGGTAGGACTCCTCAGGAGTAGGGAGACGGAAGCAAACACCGCATTCAGTCATAATTAATTCTGTGTCTTCCTTTACAAACCTTCTTCCATGAGCATTTTTACCAGAGTCATGAAATGTTCTTTGAAATATGAGCTTTAACAACCCCTAACACATGGTATTAGACATCCCTTATGTAATTGCTCTCACTTGGTTGGACATCAGATACTTCCATTTTTTGAATCTTTATATATGCTTAACATGAGTATCTTTTTTTTTTTTTTTAAATATTCATTTGTTTATTTAGTGTGCGTGTGGCCAGCTCAGCCCACCAGGGGGCAGGGCCGGCCGGCATGTGGCGCTGGGGACCGAACCGCGGTCCCTGCGCTTTGCTTAGCTTAGCTTGTTCCAAGTAGGTGCTCTAGATCACCGAGCCATCCCACCAGCCCCATGAGTATCTTTTTAATCAAAATTTTTACTATACTTGTATTTCTTTAAGGTATATTTCTAGCGATTGAGAAGCTGAAAACAGGAGGGTCACTACAAGTCTGATCTGTATAGACCCTATACTAAATACATAAAGAAAAAATGTATTTCTAAAATTGATGTTACTCAGGGCTTTGCTTCTTCACCTGGTTGTTTAACCTGCTTCAAGATGGTATAAATACCTTTTAAAAGTTGTTGTAGTGTGAGGAGCTGGGCATGGTGGTGTACGCCTGAGATCCCAGCAGCACTTGGACACTGAGGCAGGACTGCCGTGAACTCAGAGCCACCCTGGGCTACATAGTCAGTTCAAGGCCACTGTGGACTTACAGCAAGGCCCTGGCTCAAACAAAATTTATTGCAGCTTTATTCTCACACTTTAAAATGTTTATTATTAAACATTCTTGTTGCTCAAGAAATATGCCACATGGCCCACTCCTGTAATCCTAGCACTCAGGAGGCTGAAGCAAGGAAGGTTACTGTGAGTTTGAGGCCAACCTGGGCTCTGTATTGAATTCAAGGTCAGGCTGAGCAAAGACCCTGTCCCTAGCTCAAAGAAAGAAAGAAGGAGGGAGAGAGGGAGGGAGAGAGAGAGAGAGAGAGAAGAATGAAAGAAACTAAGCTTCATGGAAATTTTAATTTTATTTTATTGTACTTAGTAGTGTCTACAGGGTCTCACTACACAGATTGGACTCGTGAGTCTCCTGTTTTCAGCCTCCCAAGCACTGGGATTACAGGCTCGCACCACCATGCCCAGTCTAGAAGTTTTAAATAACTAAAACAACAAGTGATGGGGAGATGATTCGGCGTACGGAACTTCTTCTGTGTGTGCCAAATGTGTTGCCCGTGGCCAGCCTCCAGACTCATTCTCTAGTGCTATGCCTTGATCTGCTGTATCCATAACACAGCACAGCTGAGTATGTTAAATAACAGAAATTAGGGTTCTCACAGCTCCGGAGGCTGAGAAGCCCAAGGTCAAGGTTGTAGCTGTTGCCTTTCTGATGAGGTCCTCCTCTGATTTTTGGATGTCACCTTCTCACTGGGTCTGCAAACCTCACATAGCCTTTCTGTGTACCCAGGCAGCAGCCAGGATTAAGCTATTGGTGTCCTTTCCTGTAAGGATGCTAATCATGTGGGGTCAGACACCACACCCTCAGAGACCCAGATGCAGGCCTTGAGGGCGAGCGTGCTCGCAAGGACCATGGGAGAAACAAGCGCACAGTACATGACATGCTGCCAGGCTCATGCTGGAGGCTGAGGGCACCCAAGGACTCGTTTAGTGGGCACTGGCATCCCTGAGGATTTCACTCCTGCCTGTATACTGTGTGTTCTATATGAGGTTTTTTAGAACTGAGCTTTAAGGAAAGACAAAAACAAGATATTTAGAAGTGTACATTTCAGCTATGGTGTTTTTTGTTTGTTTGTTTTTAGGGAAGGGTCTACAGGACGTTCAGGATCTCACTACTAGATCGGACTCCTAGTGGTTCTCCTATTTACACCCTCGCAAGAGCTGGGATTATAGATACTCACCCCCTGTGCCTGCTTGCAGGCCCTTTAATCTGCTGAGTTATTTGTCCAGCCCTCACCTGTGTATTTTTAAATTATAATTTGTAACAGCCTCAGTTATTTCCTAGAGTAAAAAGATGTTATCTCTAGCATTTTAGGTTACCTCTTTAAACTTTTTTTTTAAATGTGTTTAGTACAGGATCTACAGGGTCTCACTACATAGATCGGACTCAAGATTCTCCTGTTTTCAACCTCCCAACAGCTGGGATTATAGGCGCACGCCACCACGCCCAGTCTCAGTCACAGTCTCGTGCTGTGGGGGGTGGGGCTAGTGCAGCATGTGGTGCTGGGGATCCACCGTGGGTTCTGCACCTGCGTAAGCAGGCGCTTTAGTCCGCTGAGCTGTCTGGCAGGCCCTAAGTTACCTCTTTAGATAGATCAACCCAGTATTTCAGTCATAAAATCCCAGAGCTGAGTTTAGGCTCCTATTACAGCAAGTGTCTGGGTAAATTCACAGCAAAGCTGGAATGATGATCATCGGCTGCCTTTGGAAAGCATAGCTCATGCCTGAAGGTTTATACCCCTGTTAATGGGACCAACCCAGGGAGTTTCTTACTCATTATCAAACATAGCATTGTCTCCTCGCTGTCCCAGGAAGAAGTTAGGTCAGGCAGGCACTTATTCTACTGAGCTCTCTCTCCAGCCTAGAAAAGTTAGATCATTGAAAAAAAATCATTATTTTCTGTTTGTGCTGGGATGAAATTGAATTCTTTAATTTTTTTTTTTTTTTTTTTTTTTTTTTTAAGGCAAGGTCTCATTATGTAGTGCAGGCTCCCCTTGAACTCACTTATGTAGCCCAGGCTGGCCTTGAACTTACGGAGATCCTATTGCCTCAGCCTCCAGTTCTAGGATCACAGGTGCGCACCATCACTCCCAGCTGCAGATTTTTGTTTCCTGACACTGGGGGGATCCTGGATCTTTTTGGGAAAGGAAGCGTGAGCCACTGCTCCTCTGAAGCAGCTGCTCCCCACTTATCGCCTACCATGCATCAGCCACCTTACCCAAGTCAGGGCTCTGCCCCACAACTGTCTTCAGAGAATGCGTATCCCCTCCCCCCAGCACACAAGGCTCAGAGTCACCCAACTTTCCCTCTCCAAGTACAGAGCCTTGCAAGCCTTCAAGTGGTTGCCATAAGAGGAAAGTCTCCTGTGCCTGGCACAGGGATGCCCCACGTCACCTCTTGCACACATGAGCTGCTCTGCTTCCAAAGGAAACAGCAGCGCTCCCCAGTGTGTCCCAGGTGAAGGTGCGCCGTGCTGGCTGTTCCTGAGCAGCTGCGCTTGGGGGAAACCGATGGATTTCCACAGGGGAATAGTTAAGGTAATGAGCTGCATAATTGCCTCCTCTTTGGCCTTCTTACCAGCCAGCAGAACTGGAAAGCGCAGCTCCCCTTGGTGTGGCATTTCTGCCTGCCATCAGGGGTTGGTCTGCTTGGCAGCCGCCTGGCAAGACAGTGCTCACTGGCTGAGCATGTCCCTGTGGGACGGGAACCATAGCTGATGTGTGTACTGCTGAGCAGAGCGTGCCGCGCGCTGGGGCTCATTAACCTCTGCTGGAATTTGGGGCCTGTGAGTCATTTGTTATTCTATAATGGAAGGGTTGGGCTGTTTGCCATGTGAGGGGTTTTTTTTAACTCTTCTTGTGTCAGTCTGTCTTTGCAGAATTCAGAATTTCCATTCCTTGTGCACACAGCCAATTAAAGACTAAATCAAATGGGCAGGTATTTAAATTACAAACAGAATGTCTAGAACCTTCTGATTTTTTTTGCGGTTGAAAATTTCAAGAATTCTGATGACTACTCTCTTAGCTGTGGGCCATGTCCTTAAGCAGAAAAGAACATTTTCATCTTCCTCCCTCTTCATTTCTCTTATTTTTTAAAAAAAAAATGGGTAGGCCTCAAGCTAATATACTGCTGTTCATCTGGAAACCATTAAAAATATTCTAATAATGATGACTCACAGAGACAGGGTGACAGTGCCAGGTTGGGACCTCAGAGGCCTGCACCTCAAGGATGCAGGTGCCCTGCTTTGTATTGCCATTAGACATGAAGATGTGCATGTTGAACATTTTATTGAATGTTTAATTCCCCGTAAGTCCTGGAGTTCTTTCCTTTGAGGGTTCTTCTAACGTCTTCCTGTGTCTTTTCACCCCTGTGCCATTTCAGGTAAATGGCTGTCTGCTTGACCCCGTGCCTCCGGTCCTGGTGAGGAAGGGCTGCCAGTCGCTGCCTGGGAGCATGATGGAGACCTCCATCGACGAAGGACTGGAGACTGAAGGAGAGGCTGAGGAAGAGCCCGGGCACGCCTTCGAGGCCTTCCAGACCACACGCAGTGGGCAGAGACGGCACACTCTGTCGGAGGTGACCAACCAGCTGGTCGTGATGCCAGGAGCAGGTATGAGGTCAGAGAGCTGCCAGGTTAAAGCTTGAGCCGGGAGTGGTGCGGTGGCACACAGCTACAGCCCCAGCACCAGGAGGTGGAGGGTGCGCCGCCGTGAACAAGGTCGGGCCGCACTGCACACTGAGACCCTGTCTTTAAAGAAAACTTGCCGCAGCATCATCTCGTGGCCTAGTCTAGGAAGTAGTAATGATACTGATCAGTTCCTGGATTTGCTCTGTATCTTATTCAGCAGCTAACAGATTGCAGCAAAGTCTGCGTCTGCACCCCTGGGGAGTCTCAGTCATATGTGTTTCTTTGGAGGCTGTGGCTTTTTTGGAGCAAAAGAGCTGTAAGCCGCATCTCCTGGGTGCGGTTTCAGGGGGTTTCCCCCACCACTACATTTGAAGATGATTAAATTGACCTGAGAATGGATATGGAAAGGTTTGAGCTTTTGGGGGTGGGGAGTAATTTTAGTCTTGGTTTTTCCCTGTGCTAGGGATTGAGCCCAGGACCTTACACATGCTAGGCAGGCACTCTACTACAGAACTACTTCTCTAGCTCTGAAAAAGAGGTTTAGTTTTGGGTTTGGGGGGAGGTTTCTTGAGACAGAATCTTACCACATTGTTCAGGCTGGTCTAAACTGGGCTCAAGCAGCCCTTCTGCCTCAGCCTCTCAAGCAGCAGGACCTACAGGTGTGTATCAATTGAAAGGACCTTTTAATTGGAGATTAAGGATGTTGCTGCTATCAAGAGTATAGCTTATTATACTGTGTATCCCGTGTTCAAAGATGATGCAGTTGCTGTCTTGTTTTCTCTTAAAGGAAAAATTTTCTCCATGAGTGACAGCCCATCCCTTGACAGTGTGGATTCTGAGTACGATATGGGGTCCACGCAGAGGGAGCTGAACTTCCTGGAGGATAACCCTGCCCTGAAGGATATCATGTTAGCCAACCAGCCCTCTCCCCGCATGACATCACCCTTCGTAAGCCTGAGACCTACCAACCCAGCCATGCAGGCCCTAAGCTCCCAGAAACGAGAGGTCCACAATAGGTCACCGGTGAGCTTCAGAGAAGGCCGTAGGGCATCGGATACCTCCCTTACCCAAGGTAAATGCATTTCTCTTGTCTTTTACAGTTCTCATATTGTGGTAGTGGGGAAGGAGGAAGGGGGTTATGGCCATATTGGTGAGGACCTGTGATCACTAAAAGACTCATGTGTACTTACTCTTTGGCCTTTGTACTTTTTCTCAGGAATTGTAGCATTTAGACAGCATCTTCAGAATCTTGCTAGAACCAAAGGCATTCTGGAGTTGAACAAAGTGCAGTTGTTATATGAACAAATAGGGTCAGAAGCTGACCCTGCCTTGGCCTCAGCTTCCCCCCAGCTCCAAGACCTCGCTAGCAGCTGCTCTCAGGTGGGTGCACTGGGCCCCTCCTCCCCTGGCTCTGTGAGTGTGAGGTATAAGTTTTTCCAGAAAGAAAACGGTTTACACTTGGAGGACTTCCGCCCGTCCCGGACAGGCACCCACTTTTGGAAGGCCCACAGCCTGAGCCTGCCTTGCTGTCCTGACTCTGCGCCCAAGTGGTCAGCATCAGCTTGAGGCTGAGACACATGCAAGCCGCTAGCGGCTCGTGGCGCAGACTCCACTTGAACGACTCTCAGCCTCCCTGGCCCCTCCCCCACAAATCCACGCAAGTGAAGAGTCACATGCACCCAAAGGAGAAGCATCTTGACACTGCTTTTGATGCGCACTTGATTAAATATTGTGTGGATGGTTCATACCCAAAAGGAAATAAACCTTGCTGTTTAGACAATAGATGTTGAAACTGTTTTCTGTGCCTCAAGGACATTTGTACTACTCAAAACCCACATGAAAGGAGTGGCCTCCTGCTCACGAAACCTCTCTCCTAATCGTGACTGGGTAATTCTTGACTATAGATAATGCATGTATAAATTGCCCACAGAATAACTTTTTATATACTAATTATATAAAAACTTTTAGTATTATGTCTTACAGAGTTGAGATTCCTCTTGGTCATTAGTGAAGGTGCTTATCCTAAGTAAGAACTGAAACCTGAAACGTTGTTTTCACTCCCTTGCTCCTCAGGAGGAAGTTCCTCAGCCACAGGAAAATGTCTCCACCCTGCCTAGCAGTGTGCATCCTCAGCTTGCCCAGCGGCAAAGCCTGGAAACGCAGTACCTGCCGCACAGGCTTCAGGTGGGGCGTGCTTGGGCAGCCAGCCGTGCCCTGCGGAGTCCTCCCCTTGCGAAGCGGAGGGCTGTGCCTCGTGGCCTTTGCTTAGGGCAGCTGCTTTGCTTCTGTAGACAAGGAGGCTTGGCTCTGTGCTTATTCTTCAAAATGTGTTCCCACTTGACTGCTCTGTGCTGGTGCTGGGTAAAGGATCGGTCCGTGGGCCTTGGGAAGGGCACACTGCGAGTGGTAGAAAGGGGCCCTTGGCTTCCTGGCTTTTAATTTTATCCTTAAGTGAATAAGATGGAAATCTAAGTCTGGAAAATGTTAACTTGAACTATCTTCTCTGGAACATGAAAATGTTGAAAAGTGACACGATATAGATCGTATTAAGAATAAACAGTTCACAGGGCCAATGATACAGCTCAGTGGCTAAGCGCCTGTCTGACAAGCGCAAGGTCCTGAGTTCAATCTCCAGTACTCCAAAACAACAACAAAAGAATCAGCTGTTCTTTGAGCATGTGCTATTAAGATCTCAGTCTCATTTTCTCATCGCATAGTCCTAGAGAGCTTTTAGAAGTAGAAAACAAGTAGATCAGAATCGAGACTGCCCTAGACAGCTGACCAGATGCCCCTCCAGGGCCTCAGTGAGAAATTTCCGTCACCGCCACCTATATGGATTCCGACAGACAGAAGCGCACTGACGACTGCGCTATGGACAATGACCTTGCTATGTTTGTATTGTTTCTCTGCTCTTCCAGAAACCTAGCCTTCTGTCAAAGGCCCAGAACACCTGTCAGCTTTATTGTAAAGAGCCGCCGCGGAGCCTGGAACAGCAGCTGCAAGAGCACAGGTGAGGGGCCTTTGGCCAGTGGAGTTGCTTGCTTCACAGAACGCTTGGGAGTGCTGGTGCACTATCCGCTCCCACCGTGTTGGCCCCAGCTGGGAACGCAGGCGAATATGCCACAGTATTCGAAGTCCTCGGCATGATTGCTCTTCCAGAATCCGCGCGGTACAGCTGTCAGGCCACAGCAACGCTCTGATGGGTTTCTTCTCTTCTCGCACTTAGTGCTCTGGGATATGATAAGACCTGAGCTTTAAAAGTCAGTACTGGCCGAGAGCAGATAGAGCGGGTCAGACTGCTAAGAAGGCCTCCTCCTGTCTTGCCAGTGTCCATGCCCTCGAGCTAGCCAAGGTAGACTGACCATGACCCGTGAACCTCCAGACACCCACGGAGGCCAACGCGTTATTGCCCCTCTGGTCAGCCCAGATGAGAAGTTAGCCTCTGGCTTCACAGGGCAACAAGCTCAGCAAGGGAGAGAAAATGCAGTCATGCCCACTTAGCACTGAGGGGCAACGGTGAAACTAGGTTTCAGAAAGCCATGACCTATCCCATCTTCCCTTTGCATGGGAATAGAGCAGTGGCAGCCCTGAGCTAATGCCTGATACTGGATCTATGTTAAAATGTTACTTGAGATTTAAAATATTCTCCTTTGGTGTTGCTGATGTAGGCTCCAACAGAAGCGACTCTTCCTCCAGAAGCAGTCCCAGCTGCAGGCGTATTTCAATCAGATGCAGATAGCTGAGAGCTCCTACCCTCCACCGAGTCAGCAGCTGCCCCTTCCCCACCAGGAGACTCCAGCTTCATCTCAGCAGTCCCCACCATTCAGCCTGCCCCAGCCCCTGGGCCCCGTCCTGGAGCCTTCCTCTGAGCAAATGCAATACAGCCCTTTCCTCAGCCAGTATGAGGAAATGCGGCTGCAGCCACTGCCCTCCACACCTAGCCGGGCAGCTGCACCATTGCCCACACAGCTGCAGCCGCAGCCACCACCCCCACCACCTCCTCCGCCACCACAACAGCCAGGAGCTGCTCCCACCCCCGTACCATTCTCCTATCAGACTTGTGAGCTGCCAAGTGCCACCTCCTCTGCTCCAGACTACCCCGCTCCCTGTCCATACCCTGTGGATGGAGCCCAGCAGAGCACAGGCCCAGACTGCCCCAGGAGCTCAGGACTGCAGGAGGCCCCCTCCAGCTACGACCCGCTGGCCCTACCCGAGTTGCCAGGACTCTTTGATTGTGAAATGCTAGATGCTGTGGATCCACAACACAATGGGTACGTCCTGGTGAATTAATCTCGGCACAGGAAGAGAGGGGAATCACGGGAAGGCAGACTGTATCCCTGTTTTTATTCCAGCGTTTTACATTTAAAGCCTTTTTTCTTGCTTTCTCCCTAATGGGGGAAAATTGAGTCATCCAACTGGAACCCAAGGGCCTAGCTGGGCTGGATGTGCTTCCTCTTGGCCCTGCCTGGCTCAGAGTTCTCTGCAGTGAGTGCTGGAACATAGTTGTAGGCTGAAGCCCATGCCTTTAGTAAAACGGAGCAAGCTCTCCAGGGAGGCAGAAAGATGTTTTGTAAGACAAAATCCTGGTTATATGTAGAATTACAGCATTTCACTACTGAGTGAAAGCTGGACTGGTGTGTGCCACTGCCTTTATATATGTATGGCAAAAACAAAAAGGCAGGCTATTGCCAGTAGCACTGCTCCAAGGCAGATCAGGAATGCGTAAGGAAATACGTAAGGAAATACACAGGAATAAAGGAAGGCTATACTTTGACTTTGATCCTGAGTTCTGTGTAGCTGATGCAGGTTGTCCCGGTAACGACCACAAGGCTGTGGAACATGAGCTGTGGCAGGGGCCACTAAATTAACAGCTGGCACTGGCTCCAGAGACATCCATTCCTCTCTGTTGGGGGGCAGGTGACACACCTAGTCACAAGGGGTCTCTGGGTTACTGAGTGTCAGATCATACTCAGGGCTCCAAAGATGTCACCTGTAGATATGAGACTCACCACAGTGGAGGCTGGAGCTGGGAAGACCGCTCTTCCCACAGTCTTGTATGGTGGCGGGGTGAGGGCAATTGGGCTCCAGAAGGTGACCTGTTTCCTCTCAGTGTAGTAATTCCTTTGACTTTATATTGTATGTTGTCAGTAGTTTATTGAGTTTGTATATTTGACCAGTTTTATATAGGGCATAGAAATTTTAAAGATACAAAAAATGAACTTTTATGTCTCATGTGAGGTGGTAGTGCTGTGCCTTCCCATACCCCCAGTCACGATTTAGTTTTTCTGTAGAAACCAGCAGTTCTCCATTTATGTCAATGCTAAATCCAAAGTCACTTCAGTTCGTTTTCCACCATGTGGGAATCAGCATTCTTAATTTCCTTAAAAGTTCTGACTTGTAATGAAATGTTCACGTATTAATAGCAATATACCAAGAACCACAGATGTGTTAACCATGTAAGCAGATCATCTGCCAAACATTTTATATTACTAGAAAAAAACCTTAAAATTCATTTGTCAAAGTGAAAAATAGATACTATGGCTAATTAACTGTGTACCTAGAAGTAATGAACAACTGTAATTGGAACAGTAACATCCAGCTGTTACAAATTCGGTATTTATAAAAACTATAATTTCTGTCCTTTAGAGTGGCTTGTCCTATCAGCAGATGAATGCGTTAAGCACAAAGCGTCTTCCTTAAAGCACAAAGAAGAGAGCTACTACACTGATGCTGCATCTAGAAACACCTTTCGGTTGCCTTTCCTCTCTGTAGTCAGCACCCAAGCAGGCAAGGGAAGTGGGGCGTCTGAGAGCTGTCCTGGCCGTCCCAGCCCTACCAGAGCTGGAGACTTGAGACACTCGTGTGTGGCGGCCAGGCTGCTCATGCTGGGCCCCCCTCCTGCACCAGGCCGCTCCCCAGAGGTACTCTGCTGGAGTCAGCAGGAGAGGGTAGTGGGGGGTGTCATTTTTGTGATTTAACCACACAGTGAAAATCTAGGAAGAATGAATTATATCCCTTTTATGGATTGTTCATTCCTCCTCGTGCTTAAGATTGATGATTTTTTTCAAACAGAACATCATTTAAGAGATCATTTCATTAAGATCTCTAAATCTCTACAAAAGCAGCCATCTATAATATAAGGTTTGATTTGTGTAGACTGAAGGAGGATGTTTTCCTACAATTTGCTACAGAAGCACTGTAATACTGCTGAAGTTAAAATGCCTTCCAGATTGAAAATGAGGGACGTTCCTTTCAGTACTGGAGGAATGGCAGTGACAGATTGGCATAAACTCCTGCCCCCAGCAGGGCCGCGAGCGCTTAGCCCAGGTGACCTGAGCAGGCACTGTGGCAGGAGTTAGGCGACAGATGAGGGCCGATGGAAAGGCTGTTGGAAGGTTAAAAGAGCCAGAAAAGCTGGGAGGCACCGCGGCATGGTGTGGACGCTCACCTGGGGAAGAGTGCGACCCTGCGGCTGGACCCTCTGGTGCAAGCTCCCGTTTGCTCCTCTCACTTAAGCAGAAGCCAGTAAATTCCACAGCCCCATGGATTTCCAGAAACGTGTGCTGGTGAGCTGAGGCTGATTCTGTTATCAGATAGGTGTCTGCTGTCTGCCTCTGTTCTGCTGTTCACTACCTAGTGACCCTTGGAGACCTCTGAGCAGCTTTCACAGACCCTAAAGTAACACTAAGAAAACTCAGGACCACTCTTGATGAGAGGTCGCTTTAAAATACTAACCCACCAGTCTCTCGCCTCAGCAGTGTGTCCCTACTGTATAATAATCATTAGCTTTATTGCCTCGTCAGCCAGGCTCCTCTGAAGAGACGTTGGTGAGATGAACGTGAGGTAAAAGTGCAATATGTGTGGTAATTTTTTTATTTTTTATGATTTCTTTTTTAATCCGGGGGTATTGATCTTCACTTTGGGGAGATGCACTAGCTCTGCAGTGTCCAGTTGGGCAGACGTGTCCCCAGTACCTACGTGCAGCTGAAAGGCTGTCCCTGCAAAGCAAACAAAGCACTTAGCACGTTATTTCGTGAGAGCTGCTCCAACCCCACCTGGCTCTGACAAGGCCTGTCCTGCCCTCTGACCGCCATGGGAACAGGGACGTGGTTGGTACCCACACCACGGCCCTCCAGAACCCCGACTGGGGACCAGTAGGGCCTACCAGGAGGACTAGCGTTGGGACCGAAGGGCTGTTAGAGCTGGCCAGAGCAAAACTTCCCTGGTCAGACTTTGCCTCCTAGAAAATTCTTCCTCAGAATCAAGAACTCCCAAGTATTTAAACTGTGCCCTGGTGCCAGAGGGGAGATGAAGTCAGCTGTCAAGACTGGAGTCTGGGCACAGGAGGACATCTGCAGTTTCACCCTCCCCCCGCCCACAGCCCCTCTAGGATGAGGTGCCCTCTCTCTTGCCATGCGCTGCAGGTGTCACTATACCTAAGGCAGGGACACTCAGAAGGATCTCTTCCTGGTCATTAGAACTGGGTAAAAGCCACATAAGGTGGAGGGTGACTCAAAGAAGAGGTGGTGGGAAGCAGCCGCTTCAGTGGCAGGTGCTCAGATCTGGGTGTGTGGGTTTGTCATGTGCAGCACAGGACACAGGGTCAGGGGGCCTCCTTTGCTGCTTCTTGAAACACGAGGCAAGCTCTAGTTTCCCAAGTATATGGGATCAGAATTTTTTCTGCTCTGGATTACCAGTGTCATTACACTTAAGCTCCCCACTGGGTTAAAGAAAATTGATACTCCAGATAAGTCCTTCAGAGGCCATGCATAGTACCATTTGCCAACACAAGTCCTATGGACAGCGGGGAACCTCTGGCTGGGACTGACCTTGGCTGCATTTGTGCCCCGCTGCTGGGCTGCCTCTACTGTCTCCTGAGAAGCCACCCAAGCCGCTCGGCCTCTTTGTGCTTAGACATCAATGGTAAAAACTGGAGAAGAGGTAATACGTTGGAATAATTGTTTAGGAACGGGTCTTTGCTTATTTTGTTTCTAGAAGGTTTTTTCAGAAGTTATCTTCAGAGTAATTTGTAGGAGAGCAGTATCTGCCTATTCTTCAAAACTGGACAAAATACATTTTTAAAAATTTATCCATCCCCTTTCACGGGTTCTGCCTACGGCCAGCGTAAGTGACTGATAACACAGTTCCTTCTCAGGGCCCTTGGGGATGGCAGAACCGACCGAGGCAGTGCCCTTCAAGGCCTACCTCAGTCCCTGAACTTAATTTCGCAGGACCCCCTCACATATTTCATAACTTTCCCCACTTAGGGCGTTCTGGCTGACTCTGAAAGATACCTGGCCATCCTAGTTGCGCCACCGTCTACTTCTACGTCTTGTCTGGGTGGATTCAGGCACACACTATTGCATAGATGAGATACAGGCAGCGAGTGCTGCTGCCCAGAGACTCAGCCAGGGACGGCTTTGATGGTTCCTGCCCAAATACTGTTCAGCTGGCCTGTCCAAAAGCAGCAGAGGCTTCTATTTCTACAGTAACTTACCAAGCACTTTCCTAAGTAATCTCTTACAATCTTCACAACAGTTCTGTGAAGGTAGGGGTACTGTCCTTATTATTCACAGCTGAGAAAACAAGGCTCTTGGATTGTGTATGTGACGTATCTGAGGTCACAAAGCTTACAGGCCAAACACTTGTGGTTGACTGGTTTCTAAGGCTGTGAGAAGCCTCTTTCCTCAAGAGCACCTGACTGTTTTCATAAGCAAACAGCCATGTAAAAAAAGCCTCCATTGTGGTCAAGCACTGGGTAAGTATGACACTGTCTCAAGGGCAGCCTTCTCGGTAGCCTACACCAGAAGAGGCGGAGAAGACAGATCCAGCCTGGCCATCCTCTCAGTGCTCAGTGAACTGCTGAAGCCTAGGCTCATGTCAAAGATTCCAAGTGATCTACTCTTTTCCTTGGTCAGTGTGTGATAGAAGGGCCCACCCACCCCCCCCCTTGATCACCAGGAGGCAGGGTAGTCCAGCATCAGCCACCAGTGCAGGACTCCAAAGGGACTGCCGCAGAGAAAATCACGAACTCAGCCTTGACAGTGAGGAGGGCATAACATTCCCTTACAGTTAAATCCCTTCAGGTAGGAGTGCTTATGAGACACGTTTAGGATCGAAGGAAAAAAAGTTAACATGCTTTTACTGAATGCTTTGTCTTTTCAGAGTCAAAAGTGGGTAGGCGGAAGGGTGGGAGGGGATAAAAATAGAAGCACAAAACATCCTGGAAAAATATGACCCCAGATGGAATAATGTTACATTAGCAAGTGCAGATACTGGGACTTGCCGCTGGCAGTGTGATGCCTATCTGCTCAAGATTTGCTCCAGGAAATTCAAGTGGTAAGACCTGGATGGCTAATGGTAAATCTGCCTTCACCAAAATCTCTGGAGGGGAAAGCAGAGGAGAGTGGCTTCTCTTAGGGGACTGCAAGAAGTAAAAAGTGACAGAGATATTTGCACTTTGTAGAAAGGGCAAGATTATTTGCTTATTTCTGAAGGGAGAAGAGTGGTCTTGTGGGATATTTGGTCTGTGAGTTGCTTTTGATAAGATTGTTATTTTTCTGTGTGCTTTTTTTAATTACTAAGAAAAAATTGGTGAGTTCAATAGCTTTGGTATTTTGAATGCAAATCATAAGAGCTCCAATGTGAAAAAAAAACATCAAAGTGTAACCTGTCAATGTTAGAAAATTGCCTAAAATGCAATTTAATAAATGATCTTTGTACCAAATGGTAATTTAAGTGGGGTAATTTCTGCAAGGAAAATGTACTGTTTTTATGTTTCCAACCCCCTTGAATTAAAATAAAAACTTGTTTTCTAAAAGCCTGGGTGATGTGAATGTCAGGCTGAGAGAAAGGGCCTCCATCTCATCAGGCCCTGGAGCCCTGGAAAGAATTTTTAAAATGCTGAAGGTAGCTGTATTCTCTGAGCTCTGGTGCTCATTTCAGGCAACAGCAAAGGACAGTGGATAATATGTTCTCATTGACGTCAGCAGGGTAAATAATACCTTGCTCTGAATCACCTGAGTACACGTTAGCCCCTGCAGATCGCTGACGGAAGCACTGCTGACCGCAGCCTGCACAAGGATAGGGCCCCACTGGGCTTAATTAATGCTTTTTGGTCTTAAGAGTCGCAGGGCAAAGCCCATCGGCCTAGGTAGTTTGGGCAGGGGCCTTCTGCCATGGTAGGAGGAAGGCAAGCTGTGCAGGAATCACGTCCAGCTCCCCCAAAATAGGCAAGCTGCAGGCCAGGGCGAGATGAGGGCAGGAGGTACTCTAGCTGTCAGAAAGGCCAGCTAAAGACCCTGCTGCTTGATCAGGGTGTCTGGGGTCTGCCAAAGACACTGGAGGCATGTGTACACACAAGAGACCAACACAGATGCACCATGGACTCCTCACAGGGACAAGCATTCTTTGAGACCCAACTGCATAGCCCACAGGATGCTGGGCGATCTGTTCGCCGAGCTGTTACTCATTGTGAACTCTCGGTAGTGCCAGACCCTGAGCAGAAGGGCAAAAGTAAATCCTGCTTTCTGGCAGAGTTCAACTGAGATTTAGTTTTGCTCAGACCACTACCATGATCTCATGCTATGGATCTGAGCCAGTTCCCAAACTAAGGAGCCATCAGCTGGCCATGGGTGGCCTGGAGGGCGACTGCAGGCCACCTCTGGGCTAGCTGTGCAGGATGGGAAGAGCAGCTCCGCAACTGACAGGTGGCCCTGCAGCACCACTTCTGCCTCCACACAGCCCCAACCCCAGGGCTGTTAGAATTCACTATCACTGAGGGTTATTGGTCCCCCCCCCAAGCATGTTTTACAAACTTTAGTCTTTCCCACAAATCTCTCCATCACTGTAAATGTGTTGTCAAAATCAGCGCGACTCAGGGTGTACACGACGCAAGAGACTTCCAGGGGGCGCCGGCGAGCAGCTCGGCAGCCAGGCAGGTTCTCACATACATTCATGACTGCTTTCCCTTCCATGGCTTTCCGTGGCCAAAAGCTCTGTGGCATGAGAGGAGCAGACTAGCCCACAGTGCCCAAGGCTGGTGTCCATCAGCAGCACCTCCCTCCTCTCCGGTCCTTGTTTGGGATCATAGACCCCTGACGTGTGGAGGCCTTGTTAGCCTCTCTTCCCCACAGAACACCTTCACAGAGCACACATGGAACACAGCCTCCAAGTAAGAGCTGGTTCCTGATTCCTGGAGGGTCACCTGTGGACAGGGGTTCAGAACTCCCAACTTAAGCCTATCTGCTTCTGAGTTCAGGGATTTACAGGGACCCTCCATGTGGAGGGAGTTCCCACCACTCCCTGGTAAATCTAGATGAAGAATAAGGGCCGAGGAGACAGTTCAGTAGAGTAAGTGCTTGTCTGGCTAGCTCAAGGTCCTGAGTTCAATCCCCAGTACCGCAAATATAAACATTTAATGATCCAAGTGAAGAGCCTTTAGCTCTGCTACAGCCCGAAACCAGGGAGGCAGTTCTGGGCTTTGCACACCCAGTCTCCAGTGCTGGGGCAAGGTTACCTGCACAGACCATAGCAGCTCCACCCTCGGGGCTGATGACAGCACCGCTCTGCCCTCTCACTTTGGCAACAGCCACCGCCTTCAGAGGCTGAGGAGCTACGGAAGGAACACTGCATGCAGAATACACAGGGCAGTGTCCTGAGGAAGCAGGTATGGCCCCGCAGTTTAGCATGAAGCCATCACTGACATCCTACCTCCACCAAGTTCTGAAGCTAGTGCTACAAATCAGGACAAAGCCGAGGTTAGGCAGAATAGCTTGCTGTGTGTCCAGCCATTGGTCCTTTTAGGGAGATTTCTGGTGACCTCCCAAGCAACCACTAAGGCTGAATTCCTCTGCACCTACAGTTGCCAATGCCCTTCAGCTGCATCAATGCCTCCCTTTGTGTGTCTCTGGGGCTTTCCTAAGGATGACGAATCAGACAGGCCTGACATTGGCAAGGAAAGCTCCCAAGCTTGGGCAGAACAACCAAGGTTGCTGAAAGGAAGGAGATGGTGCACGTTAGGAATGGACTTCCCCTGGAGCCAAGCCCCAGAGCTGGCTGGGCAGAGACCAGAAAATTTGGGCCCGGAGAAAATGAGGCATTAAGTGACACAGCCTCCCAAAGGCAGAACTGAGTCATCTCACCTTGGATGGCTTTGAAGTTCATCAGTCTTCCTCCTCACCATTCCTCACTTAGGAGAGAAGCCTGAGAGGCCCAAAGGGAGGCCTGCAACCCCAAGGCTTCCCACCGTGGTGGTGAGGGGACAGGACTCAACTGAACGGAAAAACCCCTACGCCTTTCCACAGAGTGCACCATGCAAAGCACCCAAAGTTCAGTATCACCTGTTCTTCAGGCTGGGACCCACTGGAACAGCTATGGGTCACAAGAGAAGCTCTAATGTTCAGCAAAGACTCCTCACACTAGCAAAATGAGGGCCAAAAGAGCAGACAGGAGGGATCCCAGGGCTAAAAGGCTAAGAAGCAAAGCTGGTAAGAAGAGGGTCTTGCACCCCACACCAAGGAAGCCACACAGCTGGAAAGGAACTCCAGGCAAGGTGGTGCCTACCTCCTCTGCCACAGGCAGCCTAGGAAACCACAAAGAACCTCTGAGCAGGTTTCAGTCCTTTGTAACACTGCCAGCCCTGCCACTAACCAGACAAATCACTGTGAAGACACATTTCCCAGTTACTTGGTACAGACTGCTGACACTTCCAGGTTTGTGGCGAGCTTCAACAGAGCCTGGCATGTGCTGCCCTTGAATATGAAAGTACCCAGAGCACCCTACAGTCCCCCGTGGCACAGCGTCCACGCTGTCTATCCTAGCCCTAGACTAGAAATTCTACCTAAGAACATGCCTCATGTTTAAAATTATAACTTTATTCTAAACACTTGCTCCACATTAAGAAACAGGAACTTGGCTCCAGGATTTCTGAATTTTGAGAAATTAGTTCTAGGCAGCACCAGCCATGAGCACAAGACTTTCCATGAGATTCTATGTCCCAAATGAAAGGCCTCTTGCACCCCAATTTTTAGGTCAAAGTCCTGTGTGGACAGAGGTTAGAATGCCTGGGAATCTCCTGTGCAGACAGCTCCTCAGTCTCTGTCTTACTCTTCTCTCGTTGCTGAGACAAATACCCAACACTCAAAATGAAGGAAGGAAAGGTTTATTTTGCTCATAGTTACTGGTTTCAGTCCATAGTCAACTGGTTCCAAGGCAGAGCAACACATAGCAGAAAGCAACCTTTCATGACAGTGGCAAAGAGTGCAGAGAGTAGCAGCTCAAGCAGCTAACTTCTTTTTCCTCCTTACACTGAAATGCAAACTACCTGCCCCAGGGCAGGTGCAGCATTCACACCCATAACAATCAATCACAAACTCCTGAACCTGCCCCAAGACTGCATGAGGCTTTGGGGGGACACCTATACACAAATCGTAAGTCTCAAGCCCCCAACTGCAAGAAAGTATGCACAAAAGAGGAGTCCAAGGCAGCTGCTCCAGCTAAACTTGTGACCAGCCTCAGCCTGACTCTATGGAGCCAGTCCCTTACTGGAAGGGCCCTAGAGATGGAATCAAGTATGCTGATGGTTTGGTCCTCTGGATTTGGGCCTCCTGTGGTCTTCTGGCCTGCAGAGAACTAATCCTCTGGCCAAGGCATTGCCTTGTGCTCCTCCCTTCAGATACCTACAGCTGGGTTCCTCAAAACTGACCTTGACACCCTTAGGCAGCACCTATTCCCCACTATTCCTGTGCAGCAGAATGGCTCCCACCTTAGGCTGACCAGAATGCTTTGTTCGCCAGCAAGATTTAGATTCCAGAGGAGATGCCAGAAGGTCTCAGAGACCCTCTCAGGTCCAAGTAACTGAATTTGGGAGGAATACGGTAAACAGAAGAAAAAAAGTAGTGGAACTAATGGTAGATGGAGCAAGGGATGCAGAAGGTGCGGTCTCAGCTGAGACTCCGGATCTAGGGCCTGGGTTCTGGTGTCTGTGCAGGACAGACTGTGCAGAAGAAAGAGTAGGGTAGATTCCGTCAGCCAGTGTCTACAGCCATTATTTATGGATGCTTCACTTGTGTCTCCAAACCTGGGCTTGCATGGAGACTGAATGTCCCTCACAGCTGCTTCTTCCTGCAATAACAAGACTGACATCACTGTAGTCAGGGAAATGGTGTTTTGATTAAAATCATGTGACAGCTACTTGGTGAGTCAATAAACAAACCCCATTAACCCTTGCCTGACAAGTCTGTCAACTGTTGTCAGCAAGCATGCTGCTGACTTCCAGAATAGCTGTGCCAACCTAGGGATAACAATGTGCCAGAGGTGGCCCTCGGCTCCCGGGCAGATCCTGCTTGAGGTGGATGCATGTGTCATCGGGTGCACAGGCGGCGCTGCAGGCTTCCCAGCATCTATCTCCAAGGCGCTGAGGAAGCTCCTTCACCAAGAAGCTGCTCTCACCCTTCGAATGCTCTCCCCAAAACCGATGGGGCAGGCACAGCTTGAGTGGACCTGAGGCTGAGCAGTAATTGACAGTTCCCAGGGCTCTCCACACTCACTCACTCCACCAGATTTACAAGTTTGCTGTGCACCAGACAGCGAGGAGTTAAGAATAATTCCTGATTTGCAATTGGATGACTTCCTGGATCCCTCACTTGGCTGCTGGCCCTTCACACACAGGGCTCTGCCAGGCAACAGCCAACTCCCTTCTCCATCTCACCCTCTGGTCATTTTCCTTAAGTGAAACAAATGAGGGAAGGCTCCAAGTCAGTAGGCAGAGATTTTTCTAGGATGAATGAACTGCAGCATCAGAGGCCTAACACAGCTGGTTCAGGGCCACCTGACAGAGAGATGACAACACCGACAGCCCAGCTGAAGACAACAAGATTCCATCAAGGTGCTACAGTTACTGAGGCTCATGAATGGCAGCTCTTCCTGTCCTCAGCCTTTGAGGATGTTCGGGTTGAGAAAGTCGGCCGCGGCAGCTACCTCAGTGATCACTACTCAGATGAGGCAAATGCTAAGAGCCTAAGCACATGGCTAGGCACTCCAGAATTTGCAGCAATACATAAATGCTTTCTCCCCTCAGAAGTCCAGGGTTTAGGTCTAAAATAGTTGTTCTCATTCTTTGAGCCAAGGTCTGGACAAAAACACTCAAAGGTTGTGCAGGGGCCAGTGGGGCTATGAGCAGCAGTCACCCAGCACTTCCTCCTGTTCCACAGCCACTGCAGAAGGCCAAGGCCACCTGAGCCATAGGCACCTGGCAGCAGAGGCCCAGAGACAGCAGTGTGCAGCACAACAGAAAGGCAAAGATACCGAGGTAATGGAGTCTGCGTTCAGGGCCTACAGCACAGAAAAATCAGGTATTTGTTTTTTTGGGATTTTATTCACTGTGCTAGGGATCGGCACATTAGGGTGTCACACAGCTGGAGACATACTCTACCATGGAGCTGCTACATCTCCAGCCTTTTTTATAGACAGGGTCTCAGCGACCCAAGCTGACTAAAGGGTCAGCGGAGGGTCCTCCTGCCACCTAAGCAGCTGGAATGAGAAAGAGGTGTGCACCTGGATGCCTGGCTAAAGACCAACTTCATGTTCAAGTTCTCATGAGACTGCCACAGTTCCCAATTAACTGAACTATCCTGACATCAACACGAACAGACTAATCCCCTTGGTACTCCCATTCTCAACATACTTCTAGGTCATAAATTGCCCTTCTACTGAACGGCCTTGGGGCCGTGACCCACACCAACTCTGCTGAACTGGAACTTGTATACCGCTTTGCCATGCAGCAGCATCAGAGGGGCCTTCTGAAATATCCAGGTTGGCATACAGGAGTTTTATCTTGAAAGGAAGGGGAACCGTGGCAGATAACATTTTAACAAAGGAGACAAATTGGACACAACCCATTTCTACCAGCGCCTCTTCACTAATAACCCCTTTACTCCTCTACATGGATGTCACCGCCTGAGGGGAGAGGAGCCTGAATAGGCCTCAGGTTGCAGGGACACAGCTATGGACAGTGAACTCCACCACCACCCCACGAATTCTCAGAATGAAGGAAACAAAGCAGAAGAGGCTTTAAAAGTTAACTCTGCCAGCTCATAAAACCAGCTGTCTTCCCTGGACACAGTAAGAAGTGCTACCACTGCCATCTTGCTACCATTCCCCATGACACCAGGCCACATTGGCTTCCCTCAGGACTGGCTCTTACCTTCCCTGTGTCCTCTCCAGCCATTCCAGGTCTCAGACAGTGGTTCTTGTCAGGCCCAGCGGCGCAGTATTCTTCACTGTCCTTCACAGGCAAGTCTAGCTCCCTCAGTTTTTGTGCCACCACTAGAGACATAGACAGCAGTGTTGTGACTGTCTCTGACCAGGGCATGGGCACTACATGGACAGTGCCAGCAAATTCGGGACTTGACTAAAGACACCTTACCCTCAGGAGTCCTTGAAAGGACTTGCACATGTGCCTTAGAGAGCCAGCTTAAGTATCCCCCAAATGTTGGTCACTGACAACCTACAGAGCCTAGAACAAACTAAACATCCAGCTCCTTTCAGAGCTAATATCAGTTTAAGAGATCTATTCTGGATGAAGCAGGACTTGGCATTTCTACCCCTTGAGTAAGTATACTCTTCATCCTCCAGATTTCCATCTCAACGGAATATTATGTAACTTCCTGGGACCAGCAGCCCTGTGGAGGTAAATGGGGAAGAGTGAAACTATTCTAGGTATGGAAGTGGACTGGGGACATGGGAGGGAACGTGGAATGGGGAGTGGGCATGGAACTGGATGGAAACCCATCCCTCAAGAGCCGATGGAATAAGATCAGTGAAGATGACAAATCACATCATCTGCTAGCCAAGAATACTAGGTCATGTGGCCTTCTCTACACTTTCATATCCAGGCTGTAAGACTACCAAAAGAAAAAGTATCTACAGAATTTAAGAAAAAAGCAATAGGAAGAGACAAACATCCAACTTGTCTGACCATCTTGCCTTTACATCCCTGGGAGGATGGCACCAATGTAATTCTATAGAAAAATAATACTAGACTATCTTTCAGCTCAGCAATAATACAGCAGTTAATAAAAAGACAACACTGCAACAAGCAACCACTGAGTCAGATGACAGGCCTGTTTCATGGAGATCATGTGAACATCTTGGATGTTTGCACAAGACAACTCAAAGGTCAAGCTACTGCTTCTGCTGAGCCAGAACAACTTATCCAGCAAAGAATCCCTCAGGCTGAGTCCCAGAAGCCAAACTGTTATATTTTGGTGAGCTGAAAGGTGTCCTTTATTTCAGTAAGGCCCCATTTGATACCATATTAATCTGTTACTATCATCAAGCAAGGCACACCTTTGGGTTTGTATCTCCTTGGCAGCACAGAGAGAGGAGATCTGATCTCTTAAGTCCATGAGGTTGAAACCCCACACAAAGTATTAAAAGAAATACTAAGGAGAATTCCCTTATTGATGAAGACATTTTTATTGGCATACATTATATGTCTTGGCTTCACCTTCCTAATAACCCAAACAAAGGATATAAACTGCCTAAGATGAACAACCATAGCAATGTATGTTTGAGGCAATCAGACTAGTCCAAAAGTATTCCTGAGCTGAGGGACTGGAAAAGGGCCACACAAAGTCTGTTTCCTAAGAAAAGAAAAATCTTTCATTTGTGTCAATGAGACCAAGGTAAGTCTTATAGCTCTAACAACTGTGTTCCACACATACAACACAAGATCACAGATTTCAGCAACACATTCATTGAGCATATTTTTATTGAGCACCTGACACTGAACCAGATGCTGAAAATACAAAAGATGACAAAGCAAAACAAAAATCCTTGCCCTCAGAACTCCTGAAACTTAGTGATATCAAGACAGGATCAAATTGGGCTAGGTGTGTGGTATATACCTGTAATTCCAGCACATTGGGAGGCTAAGGCAGGAGGAATACAAGTTCGAGCCCATCCTAGGCAACTTACTGAGACTTTGTTTCAACAACAACAAAAAAAAGCTGGGAATGTAGCTCAGCATTAAGGTCCCAAATTCAACCTCTAGTACCAAGGGGAAAAAAACAGAAAACTAATCTGTGGCCATGCAGGCTGGCAAACCATACACCTTTTGAAAGGCTAAAAAGAAAAAAATTACCTGAGTTCAAGTGCGAGACCAACCTGGCAACATACAGTCCACATCTCAGAAACAAAAGTAGAAAAATGGTTGAATTATAAACCAAAGAACAATTCTTTTGAACAATAACCAAAGAGATTTCCTATAGTGTAAGTCAGAAAGAATGAAATCTGTAAAAGGGTCACTGGAAAAAAAAAAAAAAAAAAAAAGCAGAGGCCCTGCTGACTCTATGGCCCGTGATTGAGAAAGCAGAGGCTGTCTCTCCCTTTCACAGGGCAAGAAAGTAACTACACTGGGCTCCCCAATAGGGATCACAGAAAACTTTGTCTATCCCCTCACCAATGGCATTTCCAACCAAATAAAGCAATGGATCTAGTGCAAATTTCTTTCAAAGAGCAAAGCAACAGTCTCTCAAATATGAAATTTAAAAACAGGAATATAACCTCCAGGTAATTCTTTTTAAAAAGCCAGAAAATTAAAACTGTTTACAGCTAAATAGTTTAGAATATCAAAATGAGAATGTAGGAAAGATCTCTGCTTAAGAAAACATTTAATCCTTGGCCCAAGGATTCATAAAACAAATTTAGTACAGGGTAATTTTGCAGTTTAAAATACAGAAAAGGAAAAAAAAAAAAACAGGAAGAAAAATTTTTTATTCCAAATTCCTCCTGTTGGGGCTGGGGAGATGGCTCAGTAGAATAAACACTTTCCTGGCAAACGCAAGGGCTGAGTTCAATCCCTGGTTCCGGAAAAAAAAAAAAAAAAAAAAAAAAACCCTCTTGCTTAAAAAAAAAAAGAACCACCCAAAATTCCTCTTGTTTTTCTAAAGTAGGACAACTTCAAAGTATTTAGTCAACTTGGTTTTATGCAACTGTCCGATATACAAAGTTTTACAGGAGTCTTTGGGCCTTCACAAAATAGAATAGGGTTTTATTAGATTTTAAAGAACCAGTGAACAAAATGAAATAATTCAAAAACCAAAATGGAAACACCATACTAAATAACAAGATGCAATGAGAGGAAAAAACAATAAAACCATATGAACTAAAAGTCACTACAGCCAGGCACAGTGGAACACACTTGTAATATGAGCATTTGGGAGGATGAAGCAGGCCTGCCATGAGTTCAAGGCCAGCCTGGGCTACATAGTGAGCTCCAAGCCAGCCTGAAATATATAGCAAGACCCTGTCTTTTAAAAAAAAACACCAAAAGCACCTGTAACATCAACACTCAGGAGTCTGAGGCAGAAGGATCAATGCAAGTTCATGCTCAGTCCCGCCTGGGCTACAAAGTGAGTTCAAAGCCAGCCTGACCACATAATGAAACCCTGTCTCAAAATGACAAAGAAAACAAAAGGTAGGGTAAGTTTGATGATACGAAACATGGGTATAAATTTGCATGAAAAATATTTAAATTCTCCATGAAATACAAATATATGTATTTCCAGGAGAAAAAGCATACTGAATTCAGTGAAAAAGGTACAACAACCCCTTAGACATACATCTTCATGGTCAGCATGTGATAAAATTGAAGAGTGACTCTCATGCCAAGAGGTAAATAGGTGCTTTCTAAAGAGAGCACTAGATCTGTTTAGTTCATTTTTCCACATCTACTACTAATTTGCTTCAGCAAACCTTTTGGCTTAACTCAGTATCTTAAAATTCAGAAGACACTGAAGTTCTACTGTAAAACTAAAAAACCCAGTACTTTAAGTAAGATTCCAGTATTACCCTCACCAAAAAATTAGCAATGACAATTCAGCTTGGAAAAGATAGCAATGACAAATGCAAACACTGCTAGAAGCAGAGTTGGGTAAAGAACAGGAAATCCACATGTTATTACCAGTGGTTCCAATTCAAAAGACAAAACTGCAATCTTGCTCTACTGAAACAGTAAAACTTCTGCTTATTAGGAAGCATGAAAGTTGAAGTTTCTTATGAGAGAAGAGAGAATTTTTGAAGATAGTCCTAATGCTAAATTTCAACATCACATGCTAGCTGCAACGTACATCCACACCTCTGACTTCTCAATGACATGATTACAGTCACAATTGATGAAAAGGAAAGTAGCCAATTGTTAACCCTGAGCTTCCATATTCCCAGTTCACCGATGCAGAACATCTTAATCCAGGAAAATGGCTTCCACTACAGTCACTTCTCAGTGTATCTCCCAAATAGAGTTTAGTTTTAGGTTATTCTAAACTATGTGACTTCAATTAGGAATGATGGAAAGGCACACAGATAAATGTAAATAGTAGGAGAATCACTCTACTTCATTTACCAGGCCAAACCATCCAGGCTCTATCTTGACTATGAAGCAGATGGCACCTGACTGGACCCAACAGTGAGAATGTAAGAGCCAGACTGTACTAGAAAAACATAAGGAGACAAACAAGAGATGACTGTACCGAGCATTGGTCAATATGAATGGATTAATTATGCCAACATATAAAAAACACCAATCCTATTTCATCTTTAGAAAGAATCATGTCACTCAAATTTGACTTTAAGCTGTTGCTATTTGCTTGCATGTGGTCTTGAAGGTTTCCCATTTTCTCTGTACCCCATTTAAGAAAACACTGACAGGAAATCTGTGATAAGAATTTAGCAAAGGCTTCTCTCTCCTGTTCCTCGTTATGCCAATGCAAGAACTGGAAAATTCCAAACAAAATCAGGTTAGTGATACAATAAATTCATAAATGATAAATCTACATGACTATATAACAAGGACCCAAATACATAAGACCAAGATCTTTTCATTACAATCAGTTTCTTTATTCTTCCAGGCTAATTAGCAACTAAACTTCAAAAACTAAAGTCCAAACTAAAACTGTTTTGCCAATAAGAATCATGATCCTTCCCAGTCTTACTTAAACATGGAACTGAAAATACATCTTTGCTCATTTAGGACAAAGTGGTAGCTCAAGAAGTCCCAAACCACAGAGGGGGCCCCAGCATTCAAGGAATTTACCAATCCCCACCCCTGCTTATCACCCTGACTAATCCCTACCACTCAGAAAGCACAGATGAATCCCCCGGTTCAAAAGTTTCAAGGCAAAAAACAGAAACATACCATGTATAGCTTCTTGGGCAAAATATTTGACATCCATATCTTCATCCTGACCTAACTTTTGTAGTACTGGTTTAACTTCCCCCTGCAAAGCACTAAAATTCAAAAGTATTATCTGTAAAAAGCAGTTTCGGGTGCCAGGGAAATTGCTTATGATACACATGCTCTCTGATATTATCTACAAGCTCTCTGGTAACTTTTAGAACTTAATATTAAAAAAATGTTTTAAAACACTTATACACTTGGCAAATGCTCTAAACAATTTCTAAAATCTTGAGCAAAATGAGCTTCAGAAAATAATATGTATATATATAAAGCTTAAATAATAAAGGGCGGACATCCTCAAAAATATTTTTTTTTACATCTGTATCTATGTAAAGTGAAAATCACTGAATTTAGGTCTGGCCAGATAGCTGAGCAGGGCCCAGGGAGAGAGCTCAGTAGAATACGTGTTTGCCTGACAAGCACAGGGTCCTGAGTTCAATCCCTGGTACTGAAAAAAATAAATCTACAGATAGCTCAGCAAACTAAAGCGCCTGTTTAGGCAGAGCGCAGCTGCCGGGGTTCCTGGCATGTGCTGCCGGTGCCGGTCCCAGTCGCAGGGCACGCAGAAAGGGCAATTGAGAATGGGCATTCCAGAACTTAGGAGGCTGAAAACAGGAGAATCACTACAAGGCTGATCTACATAGTGAGATCCTGTAGACCCTGTAGATCCTGTACCAAAGTTTTAAAAAAGAGAAAAAAAAAAAAAAAAGGAAGACAATCGCTCAATTTAAATGTTAGCTGTTACTCCCCATTATAAGGTCAAGGTTAAAATATACTCTTAAAACAAGAACAACACTAAAATCTTACTTAGTGTCTAGAAGTGGCCCAATTTTTTGAAGAGATTTAGCCACATTGAAACGAACATTTGCTACTTGGTCTCCTGCCATTTTTAATACGATGGGCAGCATTTGCTTAGTGGTTATTTCCTGACCACAGGCTTCAGACAGGGCCTAGAAAAATAAATAACATGGTATATTTAAACGTTTTTTTTTTTTAAATTCTGAAATCTGCAAGACAAATTAATATTTAATAAGAACATGATAGACCAATAGGAAACTTTCTAGTTTGAGCATCTAAATTTAGAGGTACACAGGTAGCATTCAAAAATCAGAGAACTAGATCAAAAGCCACAACTAAGCTGCAACTTCTAAAATACTATCAAGGGGCTGGTGAGATGGCTCAGTGGTCTAAAGCACCTACTTAGAACAAGCTTAGCAAAGCACAGGGACCGCGGTTCAATCCCCCAGCACCACATGCCAGCCAGCCCTGCCCCCGGTGGGCCGAGCTGGCCACACACACACACACACACACACACACACAAATAAATAAAAAATAAATAAATAAATAAAATAAAATACTATCAAAAGTTTTAAGATGAATGTTAGCAGCAACATTTTGTTATCTTCTAATCAGCATAAAAATATATTACAAGCAGAAGGCAGTATATTTCAGAATTGAGAAATTCTTGCTTTAATGTTAAGTGCTTTAGGGCCTGAGCTTAAATAATACTTACATTAATACAAAACAAAGTGGTCATTCTGTGCAAGTAATTAGGATCATTTGCCATTACCAACACTTTTGGAACTATGGTATTTTGAGCCCACTCTGTACCAAATTTCTGAACTAATTTCATGAGGTTGTTGGTGGCAGCTTCTCGGATGGCATACACTGCAGAAAAGGTCAAGAACACAACAGCATACTACTTACTACTTCATAAGCATAACCTAGTTGACTTATATCAACATCAAACATGGATCCAACAGAGTAACAAGAATGTTCAGCCACAGTTCATACTGACTTGTTATGAACAGTTCTGAAATTCTTATTCCCAAGGAAAAATGGATGTTATTTCATTCTATGTATCAATTAACAAATACAAGTACCTATTAGGCTCTATGTGTTATACAAACAGACATTTGCCTTCAAAAATCACACACTCAGGGTGGAGCTGCAGCTCAGGGTAAACAGGCCACTTGCCCACTATGCATAAGGCTTGGATTTAATACTCAGTACCAGGAAAAAAAAAATAAAAATACAAACTCTTTTCAGAAACAGTGAATCTAATGTACTTCAAAAAGTATAGGACTAAAGGGCTGGCCAAATAACTCAGCAGATTAAAGCACCTGCTTAGGAGACACAGTGGCCAGGGTTCGATCCCTAGTGTGTGGTACCAGCCCCGCCCCCAGAGCGCACTAGGAAGGTGACTGAGACTGGGCGTGGTGGCATGCACCCGTAATCCCAGCTCTTGGGAGGCTGAACACAGGCAGATCACTATGAGTCCAAGCTACATAGTGAGACCCTGTAGTCCGTGTAGACCCTGTACTAAAATACAAAAAGAAAAAGTATAATACCGATTACAACAAAGTAGGGCATAGCATAGCAAACACTGTGACAACTACAGGAGTTTATAAAGAATTAACAAGGGAGTAAGCGAAAGGGGAGGAATTCCTGCAAAGGGAAAATAAAAAAGCATCCAACACACAAAAGAAAAACAACCTGAATCTCTAAGACTAGGGAGTTAGTTAGGATAGGCCCAGATCACAGAGCACTTTGAAAATTAAATTTAGTAGTGCGTGGTGGCACACACCTAGCACTCAGGAGACGAAGGGAAGAGGTTCGCTATGAGTTCAAGACCAGCCTGGGATACAACAGTGAGTTCAAAGCCCCGCCTGAACTACAGAGTAAAATACTGTCTCAAAAGAAAAAAAAAAAAAAAAAAAGTGAAATTTAGACTTGATAGAAATCACTTTTTAGAAGCAAATGTATGTCCTGATGACCATTATTATATTTTAACAAGACTATCTCGCAGTAGTAAAGACAACAGTTAGATCATTTACCTATCAACAAATAAAAATTTAGTACCAACTTGTTTCTTGCCCATTAAAAATGTTTAGGTTGAGTCAACATGTCGAATGTCTTATAAATGTGCCTCCCTTAACATCTAATAACACCCTATAAAACCATTTATCAGGCCAAGGAGATAGCTCAGCAGCTTAAGTGCCTGCCTGGCAAGCCCAAGGTCCCAAGTTTGATCTCTAGTACTGCACATATATAAATACATACATACCATTTATCAAAGACATCATAAATCTAGATCACAAAGGTCTAAGCTATTATCCTGTCACAGTTAGTTGTTCTATGTATCCAGGAATAAGCATAAACTTATTGTTACCTCATTTCATAGGTCCAGGAAGTCTCAAAAATTTCAGTTTAGATAACAAGTCAAGGATGGCCAGTGTTAACATAGTCTACTTCTCTCTCTCCAAGCAGACCCAATGTTTAAGGATCAGTAGAAACAGGGACCCAAGCCACAGCCCTGATCCTAAACCAAGGACAGAGAACCTATGGCATGCAAACTGCAGGCCACAATAGGCTGAAAGCTTGAAAAGGCTCACCATCACTGTCCCACACTATAACAAGGGTCCAAACAGAAAACACCCAACCCTTCTCAATACACTAATGCCTCTGGACAATGAGGTTGAGGCAAACAGCAAAGACAGCCTAGACAAGCAGTGATTAAAATGGCCAAAATCTCTCTGGAACAGCAACTCGTTAAGATAAGCCAGAAGCACTCTCCAAGGAGCAAGTACAAGTCAACCATTTTACCAGAAAGACAAATTCTTTCCCAATACACAGTCTTGAAGCCCAAACCCCTTTCTGGCTCTCCTCTCTATAAAGTGGAACTATAGCATCTGTGATTTTTCCTCTACTCACTGTTTCTTTAATATATGTGAGATTTTTCTCATTATAACACCAGTACCATAGAACAGGATCCCAATGCCAGCATAACCAGCAACCAAGCACATACGTGCGTAAGCCCTGACAAAGACCCTAACTGCACTGATCCCTACTTGGCCAGATGTCTACTATCTTCTTGGCTCCTCTCAATTCTGTCAGAAAAATGTAAACTACTTCACAGTTCTGCCTTTTTTCCCCATTTGTTTGGTCTGTCTCTCCCACCCCTCAAGGTCTGGCTGGTCTCTTAAGGTTTCTTTATATCTCTTTGCTCACCAACTTTGGCTACCCCCACCATTACTGGGGATGTGTCATTTCAACTAGGTGATTCTGGTTTTGAATAAATTTTTTTAAAAAAATTTTGTATTTCCTGTTAAGTTACCTTTAAAAATTAACAAAAAGGTATACCATTTTTGGCTATCCAATATTTAAATAATTGGAATGGTAAGTGATTAATTCAGAATGCCAGCTTTCAAACAGATATAAAATGATTGCTGAATATGCCACTCCCATTAACAAATGAAAAAAGAATAATATTTTTCCTATGATTTGCCTATTTTAAGTTTTATTTGAAAAGGTAACTTTAAAGAAAAAATAGAGAAACAGTCTTCATTAGTTTGAAACACTGGAAGTACCCAAATAAATGCCCTTATAGACTGTAACATAGTTTCACTTTTCACATTCTCAACCACATGGATCTCCCATATGACACTTCATGTGTTAGCTTCTGCACTACCCTATCTATAGTTTTTTGTTTTGTTGTGTTTTGTTTTTTGCTTTTGAAAATAGGCTCTTGCTATGCAGTCCAAGCTGGTCATGAACTTACCATGTAACCTAAATGACCATAAATCCTCCCAATCTCCGAGCCTCATCTTCCCTAGCGCTGGAATCACAGGCATGTGCCTACCTCTATGCCTGGCTTGTGACTATTTATTGAGCAGGGTCTTGGTTAAATCACTGAATTAACAAGGCTGGGCTAGAACTTACAATACATTTGTATGAATCTCCTAGGGTTCTGAGATTATAGGTATCCACTACTATATCCAGCTCGCCAACATGCTTTTAACAAAATTACCTCCATAAGCAGACACAAGCATCCTCATTCTTTACAATTACCCAGGCATGAAAACTCACAAATGATGAGATACTCAAAACATATAAAGCATACACAGGAAAATGTGGACCTGAAACAGGATGCTTACCAAATCCACCAAAACATGAACAAACAGGAAACTCATTAGCACAAGTCTAAGGTCACACTAAACCTGTGTAGTTTGGTCCTGGGACCTAGCTACGGGTGTATCTTGTACCCACTGTGGTCTGGCAGAAAAATAGTATACACACTATACATCTACCTGAAATCTCATCAAAAAGTCATCTGCTTGTTCCTGTTATCCTACCTGACATAAGGTCACCCTTTCCTTGTAGTAGCAGCAGCAGCAGTAAGGGAACACACAGTAAGTCTTCCTTTCTCTCTTTATCCCAAGGCATAGGTGATGTCTCCTACTCTCAAGAATCCTGTATTGTATGGCCTTACAAGAAAGTATAACCTTCTCTATGTCACCTCAAAAAAACAACTTGTCATTTCTTCTCACCCCGACAGGCTTTTCACTTCATTCCACTCCATGTGTATCCCTAAAGTTAGTGAACACACTACAGGCACCATGGCAAGGGGAAAAACCTTGGGATAAGGAAGTATATATAAGAGACAGTCTGAAAATCAGATAACACAGTAAGCAACAAGACAAAGAGATTATTTAATGAAAAAAATAAACAAGCTAGAAAAAAACACAAGTTTGGCATCATGGTAAAAGGGGTGTAATCCAAGCAGTTCAGAGGCTGAGGTAGGAAGACTGCCATGAGTTCAAGGCCAACCTGCACTACAGCAAGACCCTGTCTCAAAAAAAATACATAAAAATAAATAGAATTTAATCAAATCCTTTATTGATCCCTACATTATTAAAGCAAAATACACAGTGAAATCAAGATTCTTTTCTAAAAGCAAAAAATATACCATGGGATATATGCAAAAACCTGGGCCTTTTATAATAATCTTGTTAATTTATCTACTCACCATGATCTACAAGCCAAGCCATGCATAAGGAATTCAGTTTTTCATCAAAAAATTCCATACCCTATAAAAACAAAAAGTTCTATTAGTATGCATCTCCAAAGTTTAGAAACTAAGATACTTGCTCACTTCTATCTATCTATCTACCTACCTACCTACCTACCTATCTGCTTTTTGACAGAGTCTTATTATGTAGTCCAGGTTGGTCTTGAACACACTATATAGCCAGACTGACCCCAAACTCCTACCTCAGTCCCCAGAGTGCTGGGATTACAGGTGCATGTGCATGTACCACCCTGTCCAGCTAAAATGTTCTATTTATATTACACAATGATTACCTGAAGGCTATAAAACATTCACTTCCCTCCCAGTGTGGTGGCACCCCCCTGGAGCCCCAGCATTTGGGAGGCTGAAGGATGAAGATTACCGTAAGTTTAAGGCCAGCCTAGGACACACACTGAGTTGAAAGCCAGGCTGAACTAAGACCCAGTCACAAAACAAAAAAAACTTGTTTCCACTCTCAGATTTTTTGTTTGTTTTTCAGGACTTTTTGCAGACAGGTTCTCATGTAATGTAGGCTGGCCTTGAACTTATTTACACAGCTCAGGCTGGCCTCAAGCTCAGAGAGATCCTCCTGCTTCAACCTCCTAAGTGCTGGGACTACAGGAATGCATCACCACTCCCAGCACATACCTGTTTCCAAATAAACTAAATTCACAAAACAGGAGAAAAGGCTACCATATAATAAATTATAAATTTTTATTAGACAGAAATCATAAAGAAAAGTGTGAGGTGTCATAGGTCCTGCCAAATATGAGAAAACAGGGTAGCCAGAAGCCAGACACAATGCTGCCAAAGAAAAAGAAAAAATGTAATGTGAGTGTCCAGGCAAGCAAAAACCTAAATTACCTATGAAAATCAATTAGTCAGGAATGTATCTGTCAATGGTATTAATAACTCTTAGGGGCCTTCCCTTTTAGGTTAGAATCATGACAGATTCTTGGGAGTGATGCAATTGGCATCAAGATGTAAAACATAGTATTTCTACCAAGACGAGAAAGCACTGAATGGAGAATAAGACAGGCCCAAGAGTACAGGGAATGAGGTCCCTGCTTAGTCACAGGCAGATCCATCTCTGCTCTGCCAGCCCTGTTCCACCAGTCTGAAGAATACACTGAGATGAGTCACACTAATCTCTCATCCTGGGTGACAGCTCTAACATGTATGTTCATTCCTGGTGTCTTCCCTCTGTGTGCCTCCCACGCTCTGAAAACAGGGGTTGAATAGACAAAATGGCTTTATCTTACAGGTCACTATGAATAGATTAGGGCAGTCAATTAGATTAACATGCCAGCTCTCAAAAGACTTCTTTCTAATTTAGAGTTGAAGAATTTCCTTCAGTCTTCACTTTTATTTCCTATTTTTTTTTGGCTTAATTTTATACTTACTCACCATGGTCTATAAGCCAACCCACATAGTCTTGAGAGAATTTTATAAAGTGATTGGTAAAGAAAACCTTTACACATTAAAAAAATAATAAAGAGCATGTAACCAACCAAAATACAAATTATAAAACAAAATGTTCATGACTGATGCATGTCACCCTGTCATATAGGTAGAAGCCAGTCAAAGGCACCATCTGCTTTGCTTCCATACTGCTTTGTATGGCCAGCAGCCTTTGGAGAACTTCGAGGCCTAGGAATAGAGGTTGAAAGAAACAAAACTAAAGTTCACTCTCCTTTCCAGAGAGCTGTCTCAGTCCTCAGCAAACCTTTTAGCCATGGCTGCTTTCCACTCTGGAGAGTAATCTGTGACAGCCACCAGTAAAGAACAAAAATGACCGTCAGCATTTAGAAGTGACAGTGGAAAAACTGGACAAAATAACTTTAACCCTATTAGACATACTGATATCTTTTCCATCCATTTTGAAGGATAGAGCACTTCAAATTTTGTAAAACACGAAATGCAACAACCACAAGATGTATGCTCATAAGTTAAATATATCAAATTTAGCAATACAAATTCAGTGGTCTAAGAAAAAAATAAACCCCATATGCTATAAACTAAAAGAAATGGGGTGAGAATTGGAGGAATGGGTACTGTAGTGTCAGCAATAAACCAATTATGAGATTTCTCCAAAAAAAATTATTTTCAGGTATTTATTACACGATTGAAAAATGTCAAATGCCTAATTAATAATAGGTACCATGGCAGTCACTAGAAATAAAACAGCAACCACAGTTCCTATTGTAATAGAGATCACTTGTCTATCTCATCTAGACTACAAGACAGTTATAATACCTTGAAGTGCTACCAACATGTCAAGGGCACCTTGTGAAAAACAAGGATGCAGTATAAAGCCCAGATCTGAAATTTTAAGTACAGTGGTTACTACTTAGAGAGTAAAACTAATCATAAAATTTAAACAGCAAGAGAGTAAATGATAAAGCTAACTTTGACCAAAATAACTAGCATTAAAAGCTTTTCTGTATGCTAATTCCTCAACTTTCCTTAATCAGAAGATAGGAAAAGTTGTCCCTAGGGGCATCTTGCTTTGAGAATAGGCCCACAGAGGTAAAGTACCCTGAACAAAACCAAAAGCACTGGGCACTGTGCTCGTTCTTCCATGGTGGCCTGCCCGTGTGGTCTTTTCCCTACTTTTACTCGCCTCAAATTCACTGTAGAGCCTGCTTTTTTTCTTACCTTGAATAAAACTTTGCTACCATTAAAAAAAAAAAGCAAAACTGAATTAACCTGACACTACAGTTTTATTTTTCACTGATTAGTCCTTAGGTGAGAATAAGCATTAAATACCACAAAATTTATGTTTACCTTACCAAGAAACTGATCACATACTTTTTTGTTGTTTTTGAGACACAGTCTCAATACATAGTGCTCGCTGACCTTGAATTTGCTTATGTACCCAGGCTGGCCTCAAACTCATGGCCATCCCCCTGCCTCAGCCTGCCAAGTGCCTTGATTATTGGTGTGTAATAAGGGCAATTTCTTGCACACTGGGCAAGAAATTGATTACATTCTTCTATGTTTTGTTCTTAGGTGGCAATAAAGTGAAACATTCTTTTAGTAACACCTGTTAGAAATGAATGCACTAATGTGAAAACAAAAGAGCACAGGGCCAAGAGTACATTTTCATGCATCTAAACGAACAGAATCATGGAGGGCATCCAGGCCTCCTACTTGTCAGGGTAAATCCCCACTCTTTGGTGCTGTCCTTCAGTTTATCCAGCACATACTCACCAGCTGGCCCGCCAGCAGTGGCATATACTCAATAATAGCCAGCCGCACCCGCCACTTGGCATCTTCAGCTAGTTCCACTATGGCAGGAAGGAGAGACTGAGAGAGCTGACGGATCCCAATGACTTCATTAACACAGTCCAAACTGGAGATGATATTCAAACGAACTTCAGGACACTATAAACACACAAACCCACAAAGACCACACATACGAGTCACACTCTGTACAAAACTCTTCTGTCATAATAAGGTACAAACTGCTAAGCAAATTTTCAAATATAGTGCTACTAGAAAGTATTGACTCTGGAAGGAAAGGACTGAGGATGTAATTGATAAAAGTACTTGCCTTACAGCACAAGACCCTGTGTTTAATCCTGTTCACAAGAAAATACAACCTTAAAGGAAACACTGAATACTGAATGTACAAATAATACAAGACACATAAATATAACTGATCTTAACTTTCAATGAGAAGTCTATGAGATGGTAAAAGGCACACACTCAGGAATTAAATTACATGTACTCACCAGGGATATAACTCAACAGCACATCTCCTGCCTGGCAAGCACAAGGCCCTGAATTTGATTCCCACACCAAATAAATAAATACACAAACAAATAAATAAAATGTACACAAATCTTCTGCCAATGATGTGACCTCAGACAAGTTATTTTATTTCTGAGCCTTACATTCCTCATCTGAAAAATGGAAATAAGAGTTTTACAAGGACTGATTAGCTGTAACAATAATACAAAGTATTTAATGTCATACCTGGTACATATTAATCAATAAATGTCAGCTAACAATTTTTGATATCATATTTAAACCTAAAGATGTCTTAAAAGCAAAGATTAGCTGTAATGAATTGGGGAATATAAAACAAAAATTATGCAGAAAAGATGGACACTTTTTTTTTGGTGGTATCAGGGATCAAACTTGGGACCTGGCACTTGGCCAGGCAGGCACTTATGTCACTGAGCTATATCCACAGCCCTAGATAACTTCTGTTTAATGGAAGCAAAGTTTTATTAAAGATAGGAAAAGAAAGGTTTTATTAAAGATAGGAAAAGATAGAGCAAGTTTCAGCCAGGAAACAGAAAGCAAAGAAATAGAGTGTACAGTGTGAGGGCAGGCCCTTATGCAAGAGCAAGCACACTGGCCTAGGAGGATGTTTTGAGGTTTGCTTTAATGAGTCCATTTTTGGGGAAACAGTAACCCCAAATCCAAAGATAACACCTGTCACAAGTTTTCTATTTTCTTCAAATTCATGCTTTTTTTAAATCCATTTCCCTATTTTGAGTCCTATTTTAGTGAAACTCTAATCTAAAATCTCACCAAACTGTTAACTTTCAAAGGCAATAGAAATTATAGACTTACCTCATCCTTTAACTGAGCTAAAAAAAGAGGCAAGAGATGTTCAATAGTATTCTCTTTGCCCAAGATGGTAGATAATCCCATAATTACAGATGCTAGAGCTGTTTTGACATGTTGATTGGTATCAGATACTAATTCCTAAAATCAAAATTAAAAGACTTTTATTTTTGCAATACAACAGAAATCTTCAGAGCATCCCTTAAGAAATTTAAATATAGCGCTACTTCAACACTGATTAGCTGCCAATGTTTCACAGACCACCTGTTAGGTAACAGACTGAAGTATCAAAAAATATTTTATAATTATAACAGGTACTAATAAGTGATAAATTGACAATTTAACAACTGGCCCATTTATCTCTTGCCCACCTTTATAAACTTCAAGGGTTTTAAAAAGAAAAAAAAAAAAAACTGATGTAAGCTATACCTTCATATAGGGCATAGTAAAACAAAAACTCAAACTATATTTACCTTTATATATGGCAAAATCTGATTCATAATTATGGTTTCTCTACCTTCAGTAGGCAAGTTCTCACAAAGCTCTAAAAGAAGATAAACACATGAAAAATACTTTTACAGAGTCATTTATAAGAAACAAAATAATCAAATTTTAGCAACACCTACATAGGCCCGGGGAGAGAGAGATCAGTAGAATAAGCGCCTGCCTGGCAAGCGAAAAGGGCTGAGTTCAACCCCAAGTTGCAAAAAAAAAAAAAAAAAACCTACAAGTTGAATCCCATCAGATATTTGAGCAAATAAGCTCTAAGGCAGAAAGTGACAATTTAAATGAAATAACCTATCAATCTTGATGCCACTTAAATATCCTATAAATCTGATCTGTAAATGCATTTCTGAGAAACGAGATAAAATGTTCAGTTTGAAATATAACTTTATATGACAATTGACATTTTCATGCAATGAAATTATCTCTATTTGAGACACTTTCTAGAACACAAAAGTACAAAAATTCACTGCCATAAAATTAAAAAAAAAAAAAAAAAGCACACACCAAAACAAATGACATGTTACAGCACAAACTGAAGCATCTAACCTTTTACTTTATGAGCAGCAGCTGCTCGGACTTCAGCTTCACAATCCTTAAGCAGGTTCTGAAATGCGGGGATGAGGTCATTTAGGGTGATTTTAGGACCCACCGCCTTCTGGAGCTTTAAAGAAATTTGTACAGGTGTGAATGAACACTAACAGAATAATTAGTAAGAATAAAACTATCATCTTCAAGTACTTATTTTTGCCACAACACTATTCAAAGAATAAGTTTAAAAACTTTTGGTGTAACAACAAATCTGATGACTTTCTGCTTTGATTTTCTCCTTTAACATCACTACGATGATTTTACCTCTGAAAATTTGTCAGCTACCATATAGCGAACTCGCCAAGATTTGTCTTCGGCTGCTTGTCGAAGGGTAGGCATTACCAAGACCTCAAGATCATCCTGAGACAACAACTGGGCAATACTGACACAAGCTTCCACAGCTAGGAGGCGCACGGAGTCCTAAAGAGACAAATTTCCATTACACAATATTTAGTGAGAGCCAACAGTGTGCCGTGTACGGTGTGAAGTAGTGCTGTTGTTAATACTATTTTTTTAAAAATACAAGAAACAAAAAAAAACAGCTATATTAAACGCAATTTCACGTCTTCACAGCTTAAAACAGTTGTTCCCCTCGCAGGGAAAGAGGCATGTGAAAGCCACACAGATAAAATTGACTGTTCAAAGTATTTTTTTACACTGCCAAACTACATAGAGCTCTTATATAAAGTACTGCCTTGTATTTGTAAATTTATACAATGCTTCCATTTTAGATTTTTTTTTTTCGTAGCTGGCTCAGCCCACCCTGGGATCAGGACTGGCCCAGCATGTGGTGCCGGGGATGGAATCTCAGTCCCTCGGCTTGCCTAAGCATGCCCAAGCAGGTGCTTTAGTCAGCTGAGCTATCCTGCCAGACCAAATTTTTACATTTTAACATGTTTTATAACTGACACATTCAATGGGTTTCTTATAAGATTATTAGGAGAAAAATATCTCAACCAAAAAGGTATGTAGGGGCTGGGAAGATAGCTGGGTGATCTAAGCGCTAGCCTGATAGGCACAAGGTCCCAAGTTCAATCCCCAGTACCGCACACCATGCTGACCACAGAATACCAAGTGTGCTGCGCTGGGCCTGAAACTAGGTGTGGTGGTGCACACCTGTGATCCCAGCACTGGGGAGGCTGAGACAGGAAGATCACTATGAGTCTGAGCAGCATAGCAAGACCATGTATCAAATAAAGAAAATTTTTAAAAATTAAAGAAAAGTAAAATATAAAGCTTACTTATATTTTATGAATAAAACAGTCAAATGTTAAAAAAAAGAACTGACTTTGTTCTAAAAGTAAAAATTACCTTGACTGGAATGCAGGATTTTATTTTTGAAAAATGAAAGAAAATGTAAAGATTAAATTAAAAAAATATTTTAATACCTTCAAAGCCTTAATGTAATAGTAATTCAAAGGATGAAAAATGAAAATTACACTTCTATAAGTTATTTATAACATTACAACATAGAAAAGGGTGAGAGAAAATAACTAGTGAAGTTCAGTTAGAAATACACAATGAGGACAGACAAACCAACACTCGGGAGGATAAGGCAGGATTGTTGAGAGTTTGAGAACAGCCTGAGCTACAGAGTTCAAGGCCATCTTGAACTACACAGTGAGACCATGTCTCAAGATGCACACACACACACACAAAATACACAATGAATGGAAAAGAAAAGAAAACAGACTTAAATATTGAAAATCAGGGCCAGCTAAATAGCTGAGCAGATTCAAGCACCTGCAAGCAGGCACGGGGGCTAGGGGTTCAATCCCCAGGCCTGCTATGCTGGCCCCGCCCCCGGGGGGTGTGCTGAGATGGCAATTGAGACTGGGCATGGTGGAGCATGCCTGTAATCCCAGACTTGTGATGATGTAAACAGGAGAATCACTACAAGTCCGATCTAGTAGTGAGACCCTGAACACCCTGTAGACCCTTCCCTAAAATAGAAAAATAAATAAAATTAAATTTAAATTAAATTTTAAAAAAATTGAAAACTGCAGGGCATGGTGGCATAAACCTGTAATCCCAGTATGGAGTCTGAGGCAGGATGGACAGGACTTCAAAGCCAGCCAGGGCTATACCTATTTTGAGTTCAAGGCCAGCCTGCACTACAAAGCAAGACCTCGTGCCAAAAAAAAAAAAAAAAAACAAGAACAAAAAAAAAACCCTAAATAAATAAATGTTGAAGATCAAAGAAAGACTGACTTTAAGTTCAGCACTTAAAAAAAAAAAAAAAAAGGCAGAAAAAATTAGGAAGACGTGGGGCTAAGGAGCTCAGAGTCCCAGAACTAACGTGCCAGTGGGACCCTCTATGTCCCATGAGTAAGCAGAAATATACAACTGGGAACTGAGATGACTTGGGAATTATGGGTATGTCAAGCAGAAACAGTAAACATAAACATATAAGCACCAAGAAGAAACAGGACAAAAGCTTAATGTAGAGACAATTATATTCTGGTATAGACATATAGAATCAGAGATGAGCTAATACAGCATAAATTTTAAATGATGTAAATCCACAATAACCCACATACCTAAGACACATTCACTCTTCTGATTCAAAGGAACAAGCAAAAAAAAGGCAGAACTGGGTTCTTGGTACTGGCTACACAAATATTTTTGGATTTTGAAAATGTAGCTAAGTCAAGACACTACTGTCATCTACTGAAATATATGCCAACAAACACCATTTCTCTTCAAGAACTCACTTTCTCCCCTAAACCTGTTCCTCTCAAAACCTTTTCCATCTCAGCAATGACATCATCTAGCTGCTCAATTCAAAAATCTAGATCCTGGTCCCTCTTTTCCCCATCCAATACGTTTGTATAAATTTTCTCAACTCCAATTCCAAACCATTTATGTAGACCCTCCCCACTGTAAAAGTCTAGTTTTTAAAATTCACATCTCTCCTCTTCCAATTTAGTTTCCACTCAGGAGCCAGAAATGATACTTTGAAAATATGAGTCAGCTCCCCACTCAAAATGTAGGTATAGCTCACTGCACCTAGAAAAATCCAAACTCTGTATTCTGGCCTGAAGAACTTTCTTTTCCAACTTATTTCTTACCACTATGTCTCTTTAACTACTATGTGCCAACCACAGACCTTTATACTACCTGACCTCTCTTTTGGCAATTCTCTTTTCCTGGGTGCTCTGAATCTAGGATGCAGCACAGATGACATTTTTCTTTTTTTCTGGCAGAACCGGGGATTGAACTCAGGCGCTTCCGTTTCCCAAGCAAGCACTTATTCTACTGAGCCATTTCCCCAGCCCCGACATTTTCATGTCCCCATTTGCTACTTTTCCAGTCCTGGCAAGTCTAGCAAAATGCTTGACAATCGTTTTCTATTTTGTCACTGTACTCTGTTTTCATAAATTTAGCCTTAATATTTGTCTGTCATAATCTCCATTAAAATGTAAGCTCTATGGACGTAAGATCTCTGTAAGACTTGTTCAACATTGTGCTCCAGCACTAGGACAGTGCCTAGTTACACAGTAGGTGTTCAATAAATGTTTTCAATGACTGAATAAGCCAAACGCAGTTATGCTATTGGTGTTCAGAGGGAACACAAATATTTTATTAAAAAGCATCTCATATATTTTGAGCATTAAATGCTGCTAAAAATTGTATACATATGCCCAACTATGAAGTTGTCTTTTTACCCCCAAAATATCAAACTTTCATTAAGACAATAAGTCAAGGACAGAGAAAACAGTGGCCAAATCCAGACAGTTTCCATAAATAAGCTTTCTTTGGAGCACTGCCATGTTCATTAGTTCACATATTCTCTGTGGTTGTTTTTGCAAGGCAGCAATGACAGTGACAATGGAGACTATCTGACCCACGCATCCTAACATATTTATGATCTGGACCTTTAAAAAAGAAGCTTGCAATCCAAGCATGCTGGCACATCTGGATAACTCCAGCACTCAGGAGCTGAGGCAGCACTTCCATAAACTCAAGGCCAGCCTGGGCTACAAAATGAGCTCAAGGGCAGCCTGACCTACAAGCAAGACCCTGTCTCAAAAAACAAAAGGTCGATAAATCCTGAGGGGATTTCACTGACCTTCTCAGACCCAAAAGCTACAACTCTTGTTCCACAGGTCCTGCTTTACCTTGGTCTTAACCATCCAGTAGAAAAGTATGAAGGCGAAATATAGGAAATAAAGCCATGCTTTATGTTGAGCTGTGGGGGACTCAGGTCAATAATTTCTGACATTGCCAGTTAAACAGAAGACCCAATGCTATTATGGGCTACTGGACTCTTTTAGAATATTTTGCTGAGTTTACACACCTATAATATTCAATACCGGAACTTAGAAAAAAAGGGGTATACAGATGAATGTCCATTTTGTATCTGTGTATTCAAAGTGGTTAGGATAGATATATAGTTACATTCTCTTAAAGAATAGAATGATTTGTTCTAATGGTGTTTGTAAATAGGATCTCAAGTCTGCATCTTGTACAGCAATTAACCACTAAGAATAATATATGCAGTGCGTTAGTTATTGAAACTGTCCTACCAATTTGATTTGAAACTGTCTCATTGCTGTTTATCAATAAAATTTTGAAAAAAAAAACAAAAGGAGCAGTTATTTTTTTCTCTCAATTTTTTTGACTAATTTTGCATGTTTTTATCTAGTAATCTTAACAACTAATTTAAAGACAACAATATGCAGTACAATAACCGTTGTTGAATTCCTATCATCTTGTTTAGTGAAATTCTGTATCATTTCAAATGGGTTTTATATACTATTTTTTCTCTTTAATACTAACAAATAAAATAAAGAAAAATCTAGATCCTCAGAGTCAAAATTATTATATGGAGTAATCTCATTTATTAGTGCAGAGATCAAATAGCTTTCCTAACACATTCTATGTTTTAATATTTACTTGAAAGTCAAAATTCCAGGAAACACTACTCTATCATGTTACAATACAGCCTGCAACTCCCAACAGCATGTTATACAGCTTTGGTCTTCCTTTCTAATTATAGCTATTTCCTCTGATTTCTCCTTCTTAAGAACAGAGATATGAGGGCTGGTGAGATGGCTCAGTGGTCTAAAGCATCTACTTAGAACAAGCTTAGCAAAGCACAGGGACCGTGGTTCAATCCCCCAGCACCACATCCCGCTGAGCTGGCCGGCCACACACCCACACACCCACACACCCATAAATAAATAAATAAATAAAAATTTAAAAAAAAATAAAGCAGGTTAAGTTATTAAAAAAATAAATAAACAGAGATAGGCTGTACCAGGCCAGAATTAAGTATTAATTTTGCAAAATGGATCCTAATATAAGAAACAAAAGACCCAAAGAAATGTTTAAAATGAGCTGGCTATGGGGACTACCACCTAGCTACTCAAGAGACTGAGCCAGAGGGATTATAAATTCAAGCCCAACCTGAGGAGCTTAGCTAATCCCTGTCTAAAAATTTCTAAAAAAGGGCTACAGACAGATCAATGTGCAAAGGCCCTGACTTGAATTCCCAGTACCATTAAAATATATATATTTAAATTATTAAAGGGGCTGGTGAGATGGCTCAGTGGTCTAAAGCACCTACTTAGAACAAGCTTAGCAAAGCATAGGGACCGCGGTTCAATCCCCCAGCACCAAATGCCAGCCAGCCTTGCCCCCTGGTGGGCTGAGCTGGCCACACACACACACACACACACACACACATAAATAAAATTTAAAAAAAATAAATTATTAGAGGAGGAGAACATACCTGTACTACTTAAATACAAGAAAATGGACTAAAATGTTGAAAATCACTAGGTGTAGTGGTGCATACCTGTAACCCCAGTACTCAGAAGGCTGAGGCAGGAGGATCCCAGACCAACCTGGGGTACATGAGCAAGTTCAAAGGCAAGTTGAACCACCCAGTGAGACCCTGCCTTGCAAGAAAGAAAAAAAAAAAAAAAGAGAGAGAGAGAGAGAAAGAAAGAATTTACCTGTTCATCTGAAGCTAGAGTAGTGAACAAAGGAACAATTTCAGTTTTCACACTGTCCAATTCCAAAACTTTTGCAAATTCACCCAGTTTGGAAGCAGCTGCACGCCGTACCATTGGTGTATCATCTGAGCACAAGGAACGGAAATGCCTGCAACACAGAGTAAGTATGTTCTGCTGTATACTACTGCTGTAACACACTCCAACAGACTGAAACTTCAGAGGTTTTCTCTTCGAACATTTTATTTTGTAACAAAAATAAAATAAATATTTGAAAGGGATAATGAAAACATTATCATTAATTCCACTATCCTAGTATTGGTGACTCACAAGTAACAAGGTATTGTACAGTGTAAATTGTCACCTGAGTCCCCAATAACACCACTACTTAAAAATACTAAAAAATTCCTTACTGTCTAATTTCTGCCTTGACATCATTTGAGGCCCTGGGATAGCAAACGCTGAACAAACCACATGCAGATGTGCGAGAGGTAAACCAATCCCCACTCGCCAGGCGTTTCACCAGAGGTACAAAATGAGCTTCCAGAGCAACAGGAGTATGCTCCTGGGAGATCTGCCTCAGGGACTCCACAGCCTTGTCTCGAACAACAGTCTCTTCCACAGTCGCCAGACTTTCCAAAGGAGGCTAAAGAGAGCAAAAGGAAAAACAAAGAAAGCTTACTGAATCAGGTTAGGTAGATTGTCACCTTTAATGTGACTGAAGGGAAGCAGTACACATAGCCAGAATGTTAGCTACACCATACCACATGGTTACTTTCAGTTCACACAGTGATAACATATGGTGTGACCAACCTAAAGACATGACTTCTGTAGAAAAGCCAAGATTCACATTCCAGATGGCAATTCCCAGATGGTGTCTACAAATGACACAGTAGAAGAGATTTGACACAATATTACTATTACTGAGAACCAAATCACTAAGTCTAAATAATATGCAGCCAAACTGAGACAGGAGTGTGTGTATTTCCTTAAGAGTAAGTGCAATAATACAATCAAAACTATGCATCAAATTACACATGATGGTATTCTGACAGGTCACTGGGTTCACAGCATTTAAAGTACTATTTTTCCACTCCTGAAAGTACAATCAACCCTGTCTACTTGCTCCATACCATCCATGTATCCAACTTATAAAAAGGCTGAGTGGAAGACTACTTTTTGTCAAAATCCATTCAGAATCTTTCCCTTAACCAAAAAGCAAGTTTCTAAAAATTTTAAAAATCAAATACAAAAAGCAAGTTTCTGACAGATCATGAAGTGAACAGTACAAAAGACAGCAAAAAACATTACTTCTAACTTTAGAAGCAGGAGAGAACAAAGAGACTGATGTCTGGACTCGAATTAGTACTTGAATAGGAGACAGCCCAGTGTAAAGTGAGATAGGCTGGTTCTCTATATCCCTGCCTTTCTATGTCTGCATTTGGTCTAGGCAGATTCAGCAATACACCATGAGCTGTACGTGCTAAAGCATAAAACCCATGAGAATTGACCAAAAGAAGACAGAACACATGAATAATGAGTCAAAGGAAAGAAGAGAATATGCCTAATATACCAATATATATATATATATA